GTATCTGAAGTTCCACATTAATGTGGACTGTTGTGTGATCTTTGGATGAAGGGCGATGTACAAATTTAATAAATAAAGTAAATAATAAAAATAAATGTTTGTGCAAAGTTGTAGAAAAATATATTGGGGCCAGCTGTAAAAGCAGCTGTAGGGTAAGTTATAGTACTCATTACTAGGCTGATAAAATGTGAGCAAGTGGAACCAGGCCAGCCCCAAACATTTTGCTGCTTGAGGCAGATTAGCAAACGGTGCCTCATCCGCCCCATGTCAAGGTGCATTGTGCACAAAACCAGCCTGGTTATTTGAATATTTGAAGAAGAAGATCCCACAAAGACCCCTTCCCTCCCTGGCTGTAAAAACAGAAAAGTAAATTAAATAACATAACAATTTGCTGCCCTTTGATGATACCCAGAATTTGCTGCCTGAGGTGCCTCCTTCTCTGCCTAATAGTAGGGCTGGCTTTGGATGGAGACAACTTCATGAATAAAGCTTTTTGTAATGCTTTTAAGGCAATTGTGCAATTGTGCCTCTTTGACGTTGCACTCAATAAAGTTCTACAGGAAGAAGTCATTTCAAAATTAGCTTCAGATAGCTTTCCGAGTTGAGATTTGGAGTCCCATCAGTTATAAAGTACTGGCTTTGCTTAGAGATAAGCAGCTTTAGGGTTCATTTTAGTTGGACTATTTCCCACAAGTGTAATAAAAGTGTTCTTAATGCTCCTTAGAGGCTTGTTAATAAGATTAGAAGAAGGATTGTAATATTTGTAGTAGATGACTATCCGATAAATGTCTAATCTCCTTTTTAGGAGAAAGAGGATTGTTAAAGAAACAGCCTTTTGGTATAAATCCCAAACAGTAGCAATTGTTAACTTTCAGCAGCTTATGAGCATTACCAGGCTGTTGCTAATTAAAATTCTTACACAGAAAAGTCATGTCACCCTGGCCTTGACCTGCCTCATATGATTGCAGCAGTTGCCCTGAATCAGTGGAGACTTGGAATGTGTTGATCACCTTCGTCACTTAATTTCTTGGGCGAGCAAATGGCACGCCGCCGGAACATTAATTGTCTTCACACTTTATAGCACGCAAATATAATCGCTAGGTGACCTTGGACCAGTCACTGTCTCTCAGACTAACCTACCTCACAGGGTTGTTGTGGGGCTAAAATAGGGAGGGGCAGAGTCATGTATGCCACTTAGAATAAATTTTACAATAAATAAAATAATATCAATGCCCTTTAACTCAGTGTTGGTTTTTATTTAATAATAATAATAATAATAATAATAAATTATTATTATTAATAATAATATATTAAAACTCCGGCCAAGGAGTTTTAGTTCCTGTGACCACTCATGGACCATCCATCACAATTTGTCCCATGGAAGAGGCTGACTATAATGACATGAATAAGAAAGAATATTCAGGAATTCTAAAAACTAAAAATAAACAATTGTAAATGCAAAAATGTAAAGTGAGACTAATATACTTAGGGGAGCAACACAAGGATGTGCACACCCTGTTGTGAGTGTGTGTGTGTGTGTGTGCAGCAAAATGTTTAGTGCGTAAAGGGAACTCTTCCTCTAGTGTAGGCTAGTGGTTAACAGTGCAATCCTAATCATGTCTATTCAGAAGTGCTACTGAATTCAGCAAGGCCTACTCCCAGGTAAGTGGAGTTAGAATTGCAGCTTAGGTGTGTGAACTAGGAGCCAGGAAACCCTTGCTTTAAATATCAAAGTTAGATTACTGCAACGCATTATATGTGGGGCCACTTCTGAAGATGGTTGAAAAATTTCAGCTGGTGCAGAATTTGGCAGCCAGGTTGCTCACCAAAGCAAGACAGTTTGAGCATGTAACACCAATCTTGGCCCAACTGCACTGGCTGCTGATTAGCTTCCAGGCCAAATTAAAAGTACTGGTTTTGACCTATAGTCTTAAATGGCTCAGGACTGCAATGCTTCAAAGACTGCCCCTCTCCATATGAATCGACCCAGACCCTGCCCTCATTATCCAAGGCCCTTCTTTAAGTGCCTCCCCACAAGAGGTCCGGAGGGTGGCAACACAGCAATGGTCTTTTTCTGCAATGGCTCCCCATTTGTGCAATGCTCCTCCACAGGGAGGCTTGTCTGGTGTCTTCATTAAATATCTTTAGGCAACAGGTGAAAACATTTCTCCCCGGCCTTTGGCTAACTAAACAAACTATGGCCTTTTAAACTGAAGGAGGGTTATTGTTTTTGTTTGTTACTATATTATGTATTTTTCTGTTTTTATATTGTAAACTGCTCTGTGATTATTGGCTGAAGGGTGGTATAGAAATTTACTTCTTATTTATTTTAGTATTATTGGTCCCAAATTATTATTTTCTGTGTAGATGTGTGTGTGTCTTTGTAGTCAAACAAGCTGTTATATAGTAGCTCAGTCTTTCTTTTCATGGAACAACCCAGTTGGAATTATTGCAAGAATTACTAAGGGCTGCTTCAAAGTGTCTGGGGAAAACCTCTGGAGCACAGGCTATTGGACATACCAAGACACCTTGCCACTTTAAAAAAAAGTTTACTAAATTAGTTATGTCATTTGGTTTTAATTATAGTGTGTTTTGTATTTGTTTGTTTTCCCTCCACCTTTTTTCGTTGTAATTATACATGTGGTTCCCACCCCCTCCTATAATATCATTTTGGAAAATTATTTTTTAAAGTTCAGAATTTTATTCTTATTTCTGTTCCTAGCCACTGGGTGTCACTATTTCTCTATGACTATAATCCAGAGAAAAATCAGAGAGAAACCAGAAAAATTCAAGTAACCCAATTAACCTCTTTGGAATAGAACTGTAACTCGTTTTGCACCAGGCTAATAGAATTCAAGAGCAGATTGGGGCTTGTCCACATCTGAACATTTGTTGTTTAGTTGTGTCAGACTCTTTGTGACCCCATGGACCAGAGCATATCAGGCACTCCTGTCTTCCACTGCCTCCCGCAGTTTGGTCAAACTCATGCTGGTAGCTGCGAGAACACTATCCAACCATCTCATCCTCTGCCGTCCCCTTCTCCTTGTGCCCCCAATCTTTCCCAACATCAGGGTCTTTTCCAGGGAGTCATCTCTTCTCATGAGGTGGCCAAAGTATTGGAGCCTCAGCTTCACGATCTGTCCTTCCAGTGCTGATTTCCTTAAGAATGGATAGGTTTGATCTTCTTGCAGTCCATGGGACTCTTAAGAGCCTCCTCCAGCACCAAAATTCAAAAGCATCAATTCTTCGGCAATCAGCCTTCTTTATGATCCAGCGCTCACTTCCATTATTAAACCCTTTGGATATCCCCAGGTATCTTAAATGGGAGACTCTTCCCCCCCCCCACTTGGCAGTCATCCATGAAGGAGATCTGAACATTATCAAGCTGTTAATTCACTCCCCCCTCGCCCCCATTCAGAATAGACAGTAGTAGTTCACACCGGCAGGTATCTGAACTTGCATATAAAGAGCAACTTTGGTCTTTCCCATTCACACTAGTGGACAGGGGTGCAAACTTGAATAAAATATGGGGGGGGCTAAGTAAGCCCTGCCCCACATAATCAATCACATGACAGGGTGCACGAACACCATTTTAATAGCAAATGGGGGGGTCCTCAAATATTTTATGGGGGGGGCAGAGGGACCCCAGCCCCTAGGAGTTGACTCCTGTGCCAGTGGATGTTCCCTTTTGTCCCTGCCTTCTAATTTGTCAATTCTGTCATGTCAATAAAGTACCAAAGATAGCACACAGACTTTGGGTTGTTTTTTTTAAAAAAAATCCCTGGCCAGAAAGTGCGCAAAAGCAGTTAGGTAGTTGTAAATTCTCAACACACTTCAGATTACTGTTCAATATCTGTTGTAGAAACTTCTGATGTGGTTTGCTTGTGCAGTTTTCTGGTTTTGTGCAAATCGGAGGGATCAAATGCGAGAGAGAAAAGAAAGCTACACTCCTCCATTCAGGAGCCTGGAGGAAACAGTTACAGGCACAGCCAGAATAACAGCATTGAGGAAGTAGTGGCCAGGCAAAGGGGAATAGCAGAAAGTGATGGTCGACCCACCTACCCAAAAACACGAACACAAATTGTCTGCAAGCCCAAATGCATGATTGCAACAGGGATCAGCAAACTTTTTCAGAAGGGGCCAGTCCACTGTCCCTCAGACCTTGGGGGGGGGGCTATGTTTTTTTGGGGGAATGAACAAATTCCTATGCCCCACAAATAACCCAGAGATGCATTTTAAATAAAAGAACACATTCACCTCATGTAAAAACACGCTAATTCCCAGACCGGATTTGGAAGGTGATTGGGCCAGATCCGGCCCCTGGGCCTTAGTTTGCCTACCCATGATTTAGAACCTGGGGGAGTTTCTTTCTTCCACAGCTCCCTCAATGAGGGAATCTCCCTTCAGCTTTTCAGTGAGCCCTAGGCCAAAAGGACTTCGAGTCCTGGCAAGCTCCCAACTCTACCCACACACTACACCCCAGGATCGCTCTGTTTTGGGTGCAAAGTATCAATCTAGGCAGCCTTATCTAAGCATACATAACAGGAGATGGAAGAAAATATCTGTACCTGCTGAGAGGATAATGCAGGAACATTTTGCTCTTCCATCTTCTGTGTGGCAGAGTACAAGATGCACGACACCACTCTTCTGTTCTTATAGTATTATACTTCCCACATTTGCCATGACAGATGTGACATTTCTATTGACACACCGCATGTATTGCCTACATATCATCTCATGGCCTTCAGGCTATAGGACAAAGTGCCACCTCACGTGAAGAAAATCTTTCTGACATCTGTGGCAAGCAACTGTTTATTTCCAGTTGCCTGAGGATGTAAATCCAGCCTGGAATCATATAAAAGTGTTTTCTTAGCTTTTTGTGTGATGTTAAAAGCAACTGCGGAAAAAGAAGACCACAACGACAGCTAAAGATCTTGCAGAAAAGCAAACACTTTTTAAAAGCTCCCCCCCCCCAACCAAATAGATTTCTATTTTTGTGGAGCTCTTGAGTACAATGAAACTTTATTTTCTGAATGACCAGAAATACATTCAGCATATTTGTTTACTTTGGAGTTCAGATAAACAGACTATTTGCATATATATTTGGGGTTATCAGGCATGCTGAAGGGTTGATGGAGGAAAGCAATGTTGTTATGCTTCTTCTTTTCCCTTGTGCCTTTTCTTTCCAGTTTGACCCATGAAAACTATTCATCCTCAGCAATGTATATATGATAGTGTCTGTCAAATAAATAATGGCTGCATTATGATATTAAGCCATAGCATGGGAACACTGGTTCTGGTCCTGCAAGAAAAAATGGATCTCTGATCTTTCAAGAAATAAAGTTCTGCGAGTGACTGGCCAGCAGATCAGCAAGTGAAATACCTGGTGTTCAACAAAACCTACATTGCTGGCATATTTTCAAATTCTTCCAGTAGAAGGGAATTTAGCTCTCCAAATCCCAGATTCATCATTCGGGGAACAGGTTGGATGGGTCAGGGGTCATCCTGTGTCTCAACCAGAACAGTTCTGCCAGCCTCTGCTCACAAAATGAGACCAACATTGCTTTGCTACAGTCGTGTTTCCTGTTCCACCCACTAAAAATTCAAACAGGCAGAATGTGGGCATCCTTGCTATGGTAGCCCTCATTATTCTATTGAATAATACAATAAAGTACAATATATAATAAATAAAAGCTGCAACAAAAATAATTAAAAATCTTGTATCAGCTAGCGCAGCACATTACAAATTCTACAGCAGATAGAAAAATCTGCCAAGACCCTCAGAAGTTTAAAGTGGCCTATTGGGGGTGGGGGCAGAGATTGAGAACCACTGACATAGACACATGTAACTGTAGCCTGGTGGGCTTTTTAAATGCAAGAAACCTCACTTTGGGAACAGAGAGAGGTCAGAAGTTGGGAAAGGGTCTGTTGACTCCCACCCCTTGCTATCATGGCCATTTGTATGTATTGCAGTTTGGCCTTATGTAAACACAACACCACTGTATAAGGACAGAAGCTTTCACAGCTGGAGGAGACACAGCAACCTATTAATATGAGACATGACTCATTCAAGCCTCAGAAGGATAGCTAAAGGCTTGTTTAAATAATGCAGTCCTCACACGGAGGCACTGAAAAATATTTACCACTGTTGGAACTTGAGAGAAAAACTTTGTGGTCACGAGTGGCATACCCTCCATTTCGGACTGCTTGCAGCAAGTGTTGTTCTTTTCACCTCAGTCAATGTCTACTGTTATGACACCTAAAATGTAAGAAAACATATTGAAATTCAGCTTGCATTTATGAAATGGCACACTTCATTCACCAATAAATATTCAATATGTTTTGTACAGGTAAATGGCTTTGTATTTTACAGGTTATACTTGCAGAAAGAAATTGAAAATGTGGGTTCTTGTTGGTGCATGTACTGAACTGGAAATGAATATGTTGTTACCACCATCATCATTTAGTTATTGGCCAGCATTCCAGTTGTCTACCTGAGCATGTTTTTTCCAGCCTACTTTCTGTTGTGTATGTTCCATGATAAACCTCTAGTGAGCCTCTGCTATCGCTATGTAAATTTATTAGTTCAACAATACTGGCAGTTTATTTTTTGGGAGGATCCCAGGGCACAATGTACTTGCTCAAGGCAGTGAATGTAGGCCAGTCTTTTGTCATATTGTCAAAAGGGTCCATATACTTGCTTTCTGATCCCACTTGTACAGTTTTAATCTTTGTGGAGTGGTTACTCTGTCACATCACATAGTAGTAGCTTTAAGTAACCATCGACTCTGCACTTAATGGCCTAAAGGGGTGGGAGGAGTTCTTTAGATCAGGGGTTTTCAAAGTGTTGTCTGCAAGCTTCATTGAGGTGTCTTCATTCAGGAGGTCAGGATTGGCTGAGGGTGTAGCCAGATAAAACATTTGAAGCACAGCAGTACTAGGAAGAACCCTAGCCAGGCTGTAGGAGAGCCAAGGTAGCACAACAGGAACTGGAGAGCAGAGAAGCACAAGTACTTGAGCCAGGCCAGTGTAGAGCTCTTCTGAGGCCCAGGGTGGTAGCCTTGTTAGGACAAAGTTATAAGCTCAAACAAAAAGCAGCTGGTCCTTGGCAGCGGCCCCTGGCCAGCTTAGCCCTTCGAGGCCCAGGGCAAATGTACCCGGCTGGCCCCCACCCCTGCATGGACCTGACTCGAGCTCCAGGCCACCAGAACTGTCTGCTACTCACTTCTGAGAATATATAACAGCAAAAGACTTACCTGGAAGTATTTATAGCCAGGCCATACCAGGGGTTGGGGATGATGTTATATTGGGACCCAGGAAAACAAACCTTCTTCCTCCACTTTGCAATTTCCTGGGACTTGCTGAAAGGCGCATGAGTACACAAGCCAGGAAAGTTGTAGCTGGGATTCCAGTTGGCCCTGAAAAGTGTGTAAATGATAAGTGAAGCCCACTAAGTGAAGCTCCGACATGGTGGATTTAGGGGATCGCAACCTGGGTGTGGAGCCTTGGGGGCACCACAAGGGAAACCGCAACTATGTTGTAGAATGGAAGGTGAGAGGCAGGACTATCCATTTTTGCCATTGCACAGGGTGCTGTTGAAATTTGAGACCCTAGGGTCCACCACAATTTTGGCCATACTGTTTAAAGTGGCCCAAGTTATTCCATATTGGACTAAGCAAACAGAGATCCTCAGTAATATATATAGGTTGTTAAGGAGAAAAGCTGAGCTTACCCCTAATTATTGGCTCTCCAGGAGGTGTGATGAAATGACAGCAAATGGGTCAGTCTAATATTGCTCAGGGCTCTTGTTGACCATGCCATATAACTTAATGCCAGCAAGAAAACCCTGGCCAACACACCTTTTCTTTCTCATTTGCTTAGGCTGGTTATGGGTTGTTACATATAATGCCTGTATTTTAGGATGCTGTATATTTAGTATTTTCCATGTTAACTAACCTAGCCTAAAATATTCCCAAAGAGGAACAATAATAATAAAGATGGACTCTAGGGTAATAAGGAAAACAATAATGCTTTAAATAACAGCATATGCAGTGGGTGCTGTCTTTGATGGGCTTCTTGCCCTGATGGCCTCTACTGTTCTCTTTTTAGCATTCTATCTCTGGGCTGGAACTGCAGAAGTCAACAGGATAAATGTGCTGCAAGAAATATATACTTTCATCCAGTGGTTCAAAGCCCCACATAAAAATTGTACAGCCTTATCTGTCCACAGTGAATTGTGGCAGGAGACAGCTTGGATCGAGTCTCAGCATGAGTCCTGGCTGTGCGTGCTGCTAAGTTTAGGGAGCATGAATAAAGGTATTTATTCCTAGGCAGAGAGAAAATACGAGACCAATTATTTTCTATGGAAACTGGAAAATAAACACCCAAACTGGCAGCAAAACATCTCCCTTCTGTTTAAGAAAAAGACCAAGTGAAAGGTTACTTTGTAATCTTCACTGCTAAAGTGTTTATTCAGTTAAATTCCATATTAGCTTTTTCTCGGACAAACAGCGCTTGATACAACTCTCTGTGAAGTCAAAGGAAAGAGTCCCTTTGACTTCAGTGGAAGCTGAGTCACATGACCATAGGGACACATTCATCTGTGGGTCAGTCAGCCCTAGCCACAACTCATTTAAGTCAAACCAATGTTCTGCCTTTAAAGTCAGTAGAACTCAATTTGCCTAAAAGTAAAGGTTTGTGGATTGGCCTGCGTTTAAAACGAGGTGATGTGCTAGTGGTTTTCAGGGAATGCTATGTACCTCCTTCCCTGCAGGTGACTCCCCAACATAACTGATTACCATCTGAGTCTGAGCTAGCAGAAAAATTTCCCAATAAGCTTCTTTTTCTAACCCTTTGCCATTAAATTTTCGTTTACAGTAATTTTGGTTTACCAAATTTTTGTCCAAAATGGCGAAAAGAAAAAGATACTGTATTAAAATCATAAAATTTCTCATCTGTAGGCATACATGAAATCGTCTAATATTCAAGGAGGGGATTTCAAAGAGTACGTACCACAACCCTAAAGGCCAAATTCCTACATTGTGTGGAATAAACCTCCTGATAAGATGATACCTGCTGGATGTTCTCACCTGCAGACCAAAGGGCTCAATTTGGTATGTTAGGGTTGAGAGGATCCTTCAGGTATATTTCAGTACATTAGTATATATGATTATAACGCCAACTTTCTAAACATTAGTATTTTAAATAATGAAGTAAACACTAAGGAAAATAATAAGGTCCATTTTATACGAGCTATGAGCTGCGGAGACAGTTGAGCTTGCACTGGTGGCTAGAACAAAGGACACTTGATGCTATGGTATAGACGCTACAAAACAAATGGCGAAACAGACTGCAGGAGCTGGCAAATGCTGCCCACCCAAAGCTGTTTTCCCTATTATTCTCTCCCCCCCCCCCCGCTTAATTGCACTCATGTCTTTGCCACTGTCTTTTTCAGTGAGATGACAGGGATTTGCAAATCCCTTCCTCCTTTCCACTGAATTCAGAGTATAAGTATTTAATTTTCTAACCGGTGTTTTGATGCCTTGAGCTCCTTTCTTTCCGTAACAGAAAACACATTCTGAAATGTGTATTTACTACGAGTTCACAGGGTAGAAAGTGTTGCTGGTGAAGTAATCTGTTTGTCTAGGGTAGTGTGGTGTATCAGTCAAGTGTCCTTTGGCCCAGCCACCAGTACGAGCTCTGCTGTCTGTGGCTCTCAGCACCTGTCAAAAGGCTGTTGCTAGAGCAACTGGATTCTCTCACGAGACAGACTTTTGGTTGCGAGGCAACTGGCCGTTAAAGTTTATCTGCAGCGGCTATTTTTCATGAGGCTAACAAGTAACTTCTTATTGGGGTCTTCACATTATGAAGCATAGCCAAACATCATCAAGAGCGCCCTAATGAGATTGTCAGTGAGGTAACAGAGAATCAGCCTCACCAGCCAGGCCACTGCAGTGTTCAGTGACTCTACTTTTGTGTTCCTTCCTCTGGGAAGCTAAGCTGAGCTCTGGACAGGAAACTAAGGCCTCCTGCTAATGCTTATTTTCTTTTATTGCCCCTGTGCTAAGTACACCATGGAGTCTGCAGACCGACTCCACAGGATACAGGCTGGGGTTTGCGATGGTCTCCTATGCAGTCACTCTTTTAAGATCACATTAATATATGTTTAAAACAATATTCCTGACCACAGTACTCGGGTGCAGTTGTACAACACAGAAAATAGCAAAACCATTCAAACAGCTCATCATAAAGGAAAAGCCCACTGGACAAAGGAGGACTCAAGGGCATGATCTACTTTAGCCAAAGCATTGCTATAAATGCATATTTTGGAACTGGCACTTTTTACAGTGCCACATAATATTCATTCCATACTTGCAAGTGATCTTTCAGTGTGATATCACCTAAACTTTGGAATTCCCTGCGCATTGATATTAGGCGGGCGCCTTTGCTGGATGGTTTTTGGCACCTGCTAAAAGTTTTTGTTTTGTTTAATCTAGTCTACCCAGACATGTATATTTGACATGCATTTTAATATGTCATCTTACAGTGTATGATAGGGACGCGGGTGGCACTGTGGGTTAAACCAAAGAGCCTAGGACTTGCCAATCAGAAGGTCGGCGGTTCGAATCCCCACAACGGGGTGAGCTCCCGTTGCTCGGTCCCTGCTCCTGCCAACCTAGCAGTTCGAAAGCACGTCAAAGTGCAAGTAGATAAATAGGTACCGCTCCGGCGGGAAGGTAAACGGCGTTTCCATGCGCTGCTCTGGTTCGCCAGAAGCGGCTTAGTCATGCTGGCCACATGACCTGGAAGCTGTACGCCGGCTCCCTCGGCCAATAAAGCGAGATGAGCGTTGTAACCCCAGAGTCGGCCACGACTGGACCTAATGGTCAGGGGTCCCTTTACCTTTTTACAGTGTGTATTTTTGAAAGTACTGATTTATTTTGAAATTTTTTAGGCTAACTTGTTTTAAATATCTGGTTTGCTTGATAATTTCAATTTATTTTTAAATAATATATGTAAAGCGCTTAGATGTTTTTGTAATTAAGCGGTATCTAAATCCTGTTAAATAAATAAAAGTGGAGCAATTTACCCCTCTTCAAACAGGTACTATTTTAAGCAGGAGAACATTGGCACGGCATGGCCTGCTGTGCTGGTCTAGGCTCTCATAGGATAAGGGCATTATTTCATTTTTTGACTCCATGAATGTATATGCAAGCAGAGTGTGCACATATCAGCAGGATGACTGGAAAATGAGCTAATAAATAATTCAGCTTGCCATCAGTTGTATAGTATAGGCTATATTTAGGAAGAATATAAATTTTGAATAAACTAATTGAAGGATTTCTGCTCACACACAGTGCAATCCATAATCTATTTACCTTGGAATGGTACCATTAAGTCACTGGACTGCTCTGGAGTAAGTGGGTTGTGGACTACACATCTTATTCATTACCGTACAATGTCTTATTCATTTTACCAAAGGCTTTATCCGGATGTCTATTCATTCAGTCTTTTTTTTTTACTTGGGGTTGTGTCTAGCATGAAATTTATTAAGCAAGGGTCAGCTGTTTCTCAAAGGAAGTATGAAGGCAGAGAGAGATAAATATATGAGCTGCAGTGCAGCATATGCGTAGAGCTGAAGTAGCAGTTGGCCATTTATGCAGAACATTTTTCTTTCCTGAGACCACATGAGACAAGGAAGATACTTTTTGTTATGAGACGCTTCCGTGTCTTTGCAAGTAAAAACTGGACTGCTCAGTACAAGAGACAGAAGTTAGGGCATTTCTGTGGTGATCATAGTGTTTCTTTCAGATGATTGGCATGTTGGCATTCCTAAACCTGTAATCCAAACGTCAACCCTGCTAATCCCCATGCTGACCGTTGCTAGCAGAATTAACATGGATGCATGTATACAGGGAACAGCCATTGAACAAGCCCACCATTGGCAGATCCAAACCATTCTAATACAGATACGTCTTATATGATATAGGTAAAGGTAAAGGGACCCCTGACCATTAGGTCCAGTCGTAGCCGACTCTGGGGTTCCGGCACTCATCTCGCTTTATTGGCCGAGGGAGCTGGCGTACAGCTCCAGTCATGTGGCCAGCATGACTAAGCCGCTTCTGGCGAACCAGAGCAGCACACGGAAACGCCGTTTACCTTCCCGCCGGAGCGATACCTATTTATCTACTTGCACTTTGACATGCTTTTGAACTGCTAGGTGGGCAGGAGCAGGGACCGAACAACGGGAGCTCACCCCGTCGCGGGGATTCGAACCGCTGACCTTCTGATAGGCAAGTCGTAGGCTCTGTGGTTTAACCCACAGCGTCACTTCCTTTTTAATTACTGGGTCTTGAACTAAAGTTGCTGGAGGAAATTATATCTGGAAAAACCCTTGCCTGGGAGAAAAACTTGTGGAAGAAGTGGGGGAGGTTTTAATTTCTGGTTTCCTTACCTTTTAAAATTAGTTTTTATTTATTTTTATTTTTTAACCGAGCTATTTCACTATTTTAAAAATGAGATTGTTCCATTACTGCAAGCATTTCTTCTTGCCCAATGAAACGATCTCCCCTCTACCCCCTCCACGCTACTCTAGGGGATCTGCCAACCTTTCAGGATGGCAGGGGAGCCCTGTTGTATTAGTGAAGAGTCCTTGGGCTGGTTTCCTCTAGCAGGATGGGGTAGTTGAATCTGGCCCAGTATAAGGAAAACAGTAATTCTGTCCTACGGAGAGAAACTGGGCTTATTACAGTACAGTTATTTGGCTATTCATCATGAATCCCCTGCCTAGATAAGCAGGAAGCAATAAAGCAGGCCGGACCTGCAAACAGGAGATGTTTTATTAAAGGCATAGGAGCCCTGAAAGTCTTCAACAGTGCACTGTTAGTACAACCTTGGGAGATCAGTGCTGCAATTGCATTTTGTTTTTGGGGGGAAACACACACCAATATTTTATTGGGGGGGGCTGAAGGTACCTCGGCCCCTAGAAGTTGGCTCCTGTGATGGGAGCATAACATATAAAATATTGTACTATAACCATTTGATCACATGAGTTTCCAGACTGGAGCTTTACATCACAAAAAGGTCATTTGGATCCAATATTTCCTTGAGCATGGTTGACACATTAGCTTCCATGCATTCCACCCCAAGCCAAGCCTAGATATTCCTCGCTCTTCTACTGCATGGTATCCAGGTCAGTGAGAAGAGATTGATGGAATGTATACAGGATAGTTATGGGTCCTTCCTCTCATCCACTCTTCTCTCATCGTTCCGTACCTTTTTCTGTCCTGGGTATTTTTGTACCTGAATGCATAGACACAAATATAATCCCAGTAAGTATGTAGGAGTTCAAGAGCAAATGTTACCAGCCTTTATTTATCATGTTCCACACGGAACAACATGGATACTTGTGCTCTTGGTGGTGTGTGCATGTGCACACAGTATCCATTTCCAGTTTGTTTGTTTTTAATTTGCAATACTGAGGTCTTGCACAAGATGTTTAGGTATCTCAATCTGCTGTTTGATTTGGCATGGCTGGAGTGGCTATCAGCATCTCAAAATATTAGGAATGCCCCAAACACCCAGTAAATGTTAATCACACAACCATGCATTCACACACACACACACACACACACACACTAAAAAAACCCTCAGAAATAAGGAAATACCAAAATAATGATAAAGAGGTTTTGTGCAACATATCTATCTATCTATCTATCTATCTATCTACCTACCTACCTACCTACCTACCTATCTCCAGTGTAGGACTGCAACAATAGTATCCAGAGTAAAACCACATAATTTACTCTATGAAGACCTTGAGAGAATAACTCCTTTGAACAGGGTACGCCTTTGGTCTGTGGCAGCTGGTGAAAATACAGTGGTACCTTGGGTTAAGAACTTAATTCGTTCTGGAGGTCTGTTCTTAACTTGAGGTACCACTTTAGCTAATGGGGCCTCCCGCCACCGCCGCATGATTTCTGTTCTCATCCTGAAGCAAAGTTCTTAACCCGAGGTACTATTTCTGAATTAGTAGAGTCTGTAACCTGAAGTGTCTGTAACCCAAGGTACCACTGTAGGTGCCTTTTGTTTGGTAGGCAGGTGAGGAGCAAAGAGAAGTAGGGGCATGGTGATAGCGACCACCCACTAACCCATCACCACACGTGACAAATTGCCGATACTAAAAAATGTGCTAAGGAGGCTTCACATCAGCAATGACTGCAGTTTATCCACAGCTACACACAAGAACACATCCACAAGAACACACATCAAAATTACAAGAGATAAAATGTAAGAACATCAGAAGAGCCCCAACAGATCTTATCACACTTTGTATCAAATTGCTCCACTGGCCGGATGTGGCTTGCGGACTGCCAGTTGACCATTTTTGATATAAATGATTCATGTTTCTGCTTACTTCTGCATCATGTGCCACTCAATGCTGCAGTATTTTTAGCTTTCTCAAGCTAAGCAGATCAATATGTGGATGAGAATCTTTCAAAGGAAATCTAATGAGTAACAGCTAAGTTTGTAACTGGCTATACAAAAGGTCACCTTGTCATCTGGATTAGTAGGAGCTGCAGGAAGGCAAGTGGAGACCTGCAACAAAATGTTCCAGTCCCTCCTCAGACCTCAACAGGTCTGCTCTTGTTCAGGTCTCCAGCCAGCCTGGAGCAGGACCCTTGGGGTGTTGTTTAGAGTTCAGGAGAAGGGGGGAATTTCAGGAGGAGGAAAGGAGGGGGGAGAATGACAACTAAATGTGTAAAACCAATGAAAAAGCAGAAGATGAGCTTGGAGAAACCATTACTTCAGAAAAGAAAAATACATGTGGAGAACTTATTATTCAGCTTTGTGATATTGAGCCTCCCTCGTGCTTCCGTTATATTTTCAGCAAACAGGAGGGCCAAACATTTTCTTCAAGAGGAAAGCTGAAAAAACAATACACAATCAGCAGCATCTTCAGCCATGGGATGCATATGGAGGCCCTCTGTTTTTCTCCTGGCTACTTAGTCCTTGTATAAATTTTCTAGAGGAGGAAATACCAAAGAATTCCTTTAGTATAAAATTATTGCAATTTGGATTTATTATTCATCTCCATTTCATCATGCCAGAAATGGTATACATCATGCCAGAAATGGTATACATTTTACATGAACATTTTATTAATATAGTAGTGGGCTGAGCACAATGATAAAGCAAGGTCATAAACGTAGCTGCAGAGAGGGCAGAATGCCAGCAGATAAGATGAGCAGCTTGTATGGCTGTAGGACTTTAAGGTCAGCTCCCACATGGGCAAACATTAATGCTGTCACTACATGGATCCACTCCAGGAATTCACAAAAGTCACTCTCTTACATGCTGGCTTTTATCCAGCAGCTGAGCAGCACAACTGCAGCCAGGATATTCCCGTTCTTGGCTAAGGAATGGCTTGCTGTTCTCACTGACACTGAGATCTTGGTTGTATGCTTAGTTTTCAAGACTGGGTCATCATCTGCAGCAACCTTCCTTCTGTTTAACATCCATGTGAATGCTTGCTGATACTAGTAGGATGTATCCACACATTGTAGAAATGACTTATTAGTGTGTAAAATGCTGCCTGCCTCAAATACCTTTTATCACAAATTGGAATCTGGCATCAATTTTACCTGGTCTGGATAGCTAATTTGTTTCTGAGAAACAGTTCCTTCTCCTTGTTAAATGAATATCCTTATTTTCATGCCACCAACATACTGTTCAAAAATAGGTTGGAACAGTGAATGGTTGCACTCTACATCTTGGCCCTTACTGTTTTGTGGAAAGAGACATTGTCATTTTCAACTCTCCCAAGCCCAGATATCCAATAGCCTTTCTATATAAAAACAGCAATATATATATATATATGGAGTTAACTATGAACCTTGAAAGAGCCAAGCAACCAGTAGTTCAAGCCCCTAGCATACTTCAAGAACATCTTCATAGGGTAGGCAGAGGGAACAGGAGACTGCTGCAGGCGAAAGGGTGGGAGAAGATGAAGTCACTTTCCTGATACAGTGGTGCCTCGCAAGACGAAAAGAATCCGTTCTGGGAGTCTCTTCGTCTAGCGGTTTTTTCGTCTTGCGAAGCAAGCCCATTGATGGGATTAGCGGATTAGCGCTATTAGCGGCTTTTAGCGGCTTTTAGCGGCTTTTAGCGGCTTATCAGCTTATCGGATAAGCAGATAAGCGGCTTAGCGGCTTAGAAAAAGAGGGGGGAAAGGGGAAAAAAAACGCAGGAACTCGCAAGACATTTTCGTCTTGCGAAGCAAGCCCATAGCAGATTCGTTTTGCGAGGCACCTCCAAAACGGAAAACTCTTTCGTCTAGCGAGTTTTCCGTCTTGCGAGGCATTCGTCTTGCGGGGCACCACTGTATGTTGTTGTGATACAGATGCAGATATTCCAAAGCTGAAGGGAATGAAGGGGGGGTGTTTGTTTGGGTTTTTTGTAAAAAAAAAAACCCACACTAGAGAAAGTTCACGAAAGAGCAGGCCAGTGTCATGAGAGACGGAGCAGGATTATGGGTTTCCCCAGGGTTTAAAAGGAAAACTCTATAATTTGCATTTTCACTGGACTAGGGAGTGCTCACACAGCAAAATACGGAAAGCTTACATTTCTTTTCATTTCTTCAGAAAGTGAAGGAATCCCACTGTTTCAATTTGCTTCAGAATAACTTCACAAAATTATGAGCCAGTCCTATAAACCATTTATATATAGTGGTACCTCGGGTTAAGTACTTAATTTGTTCCGGAGGTCCGTACTTAACCTGAAACTGTTCTTAACCTGAAGCACCACTTTAGCTAATGGGGCCTCCTGCTGCCACCACACCACCAGAGCACGATTTCTGTTCTCATCCTGAAGCAAAGTTCTTAACCCGAGGTAATATTTCTGGGTTAGCGGAGTCTGTAACCTGAAGCATCTGTAACATGAAGCGTATGTAACCCGAGGTACCACTGTACTGGTTTATAAGGAGGATATACTGCCCCTGCACCAGTGGAGCGGCTGCTATGTCCTACACCCACCCAGCCTAGGAGGGGAGCGGAGAGCACACAACCCATTAAAAAAGCAAGCAAACAAAAAGAACAATAAAGGTAGACATTCCCAGAGCGTTCCAGTGTTAGCCCAAGTGCCAGAGATGGTGCTGGCACTGCCACCTACATATACAGCCCACACATGGAGGAAGTCAATGAACTCACGACACCAAGAACTACTCTGCATCACAATATGCACAACATTCAAAACATCCATTTAAAGCTTTCAGCTCCCAAGGCCCGCTTTCTCTTTCTGGTGCACCGTGGCAAACTTCTCCATTTCACCCACTGTAATTTCATACTTGGATCTGAAACAAGGAACCACTTGGCCATAAATGCCTCACTGTTGAACCTACTTATTACCTTTCATTCCCAAAGGTGTTTTCTGTCTTTAAAATTACTCAGGCAGACAGGGATGTGGACAAAATCATGGCTGGGCCAGCCCCTCTCACAGCAGGTCATCATGCTCTATTTGCTTGTATTACTGATTATATTCTGGATGACATTTTATTTTAAAATATATATGTGCTAGCAGTGTGATACTTTAATTGAAATACAAAAGGACAAAGGCCTTCTCTGTGAAATCTTATAAATTGATTTTCTTGGACACATCTAAGCACTTGGCATTAAGCTAAGGTAAGGACCTTTTACTTGCATGTTTGGGCTATATTTAACACCCAGCTTATGATTTACACCCAGCCGATCTTTATTCTGCAACAGTATTTCCAAAACAAAACCAAGGGACGCTATCTTGATGTCACTAGTAAAGCAAAGCTGTCTTGTTAAACTTTTGAAATATGCATACATTTGCTTGCTCCCAAAAAAAGTAATTCAGAATATAGATAACTTTTTGTATTGGGCCTTTTTAAAGTTAAAACTCTGCCAGACAGGAGTTTCCCCAGAAAGGATCTTTCTTGATAAAGCTGTGTACCCGTGCAGAATGCTTACCTGAGAGCAGGCTGCCAGAAGCATTGCTGGTCCAAGACATTTAGGGGCCTGAGGCCAGTGTCAGATCCTAATGCATATGCGTTTGCACTGACATTTAAAAAAAAAAAAGCTAATGATTTTATTCTCTGCTGCTGGAGTTTTTTATGTTGCATTTGTGAGTGTGCGTACTTTGTTTAACGTTGTATCTTAATTTTTTATTGTCTTTGTAAGCTGCCTGGATAACTTTTTTTTTGAGTTGGTATTATAAGCACCATTAATATATATATAAATAAAATAAACTCCTAACATCTCACTCAAAAGATGAAACAGGGACAGAATGGGAACAGAGACAAATCCCTAAATACTGAACAACTGGAGCATTTGTCAGTGGCACATTATGCAACACATTGTGCAACATGCGCTGTGAGGACCAGCATCAAGACTATGATTGGGCATTATCCAAGGCCTCACACCCCAAAGGGAGTTCACTGCCAAGAGCTCTTTGAAGCTGCTGCTTACCTTCATCATTGCAACTGTTTGGTGTTCTCTGCCTTTTGCTATGGCCCAGACAGTAGCAGAAACGAGAAGGAGAAGTGGCAATGCCAAGGCTGCTTGCTCATTAGCTCTCTGCCTGGCAAGCGATGCAGTGATGAAGAGGAGGAGGAGCTTTTCATAATTCCAATGAGGAGGTCATGGAAGATGTCTTGTCCAAGGTCCCTCCCAAACCTGAATTTGTCACTGCACTATTTTTGCATTGCATTGCATTTCCTACAGCTGCGCAGATGACATGCTGAGGCATCTTTAAACACCTGCACTGACCCTGGCTCAACCAGGGTATGCTGCTAAACTTTGGCATGCACATTTACAGTCACTACACAGCACGTCAAGGGACAGGGTTCTCAACTTTTTCTAGCAGGGGTCCATTAGCAGTTGGGTGGAAAGCAGAAACTGTACACTGTAAGCTTAATCTCCTTGATTTCTGCTTCCCTGCAGATGCAAGAAGCCAGACAAAAGAAAGTTGCTGATCCTACAGCTGGCCCATGCCATAGACATTAAAAAACTCCAAGCAAAAAGTTACTAAATCAACTAGTTGTGAAAGAGCCAAACCACACATATACCACAGAGTGTATTTAGCTCATCTGAAAGATTGCAAGAACCACACCCAGACTTGCCTCTCTCTCTAAAAGTTTCATAGCACTTAGTTGGTATGTGGCTACAATTCTTCCTATCTCACTGCTCCACTGGCCCTATGGGGCATCCCTCCTTTTCTGCCCCCTACATAGCTATCAGGATCCAGCTTTGTTCCACAATGTGAAAGGAGAGTAGGCAGTGGGTCTACAAAGCAGAATGTGCAGTTGTTGCACACACTCTAAGGCGCTGTTGAAGAAGCAGCCTGTGTCTCCAGATGAGGCTCAATTTTACAGTTGACTTAACCTATATTCCAGTCACTAGCATGTTTAAATGAAATATTCAAATGTCCTATTTGTTTAGGTGGGTTTGGGGATGGAAAGAAGCCCCTAAATTATTGACCTGAAAAGCATATGAAGTAATTTTCAAGAAGTCTGTGAGTCCTGTTGCTGCTTTCATTCAACTGCAGCAAACAAATGTCCAATTAATAGAGCAGAGAGGAGTTGGTTTCTATTCCCTGCTCTGGGAAATGCATTTGACTGCAAGTGAGCCAAGATACAGGAGCTGGAAAGACACCTGAACCTCAAATGACTCAAAAGCTGATATTTATATAAGAAAGGAGGACAAAACTACATCTATCACTATAGGAATTGTGTGCGCCAGGTAGTGAAATAGACTTATTTGACCAGACAAACCCTGAAGTGCTAATAAAATGCTGGAGGAAGGAAATGCTTCAAGATCAGATTCTGTAGAAGCCATTACTGTAATCTGTATCTATAGTTTCCTAGCAACAGCTGATCCAGCAGACTCATGTGAATAGCCCCCTGGGTCCAGTGCCACATATCACGAATGACATTGTAGGGCAGGTAATGCATGTTTGATGGCTTGCAGGACCGGGACCAAAAATGTTAGCATACATAGTGTAAAATGCAAACCTTATAACTGCAAACATAGCCTTCCTTTAATTATAGACCTCTTGGGGAAACAACCTCAGGAATAATATATGACCCTGGAACAATATTTTTAGTACACATATAACAAGAGAGGGATTTCTAAACTTTGAAACAACTTTTCAAATGTGGCAGATTTAAAGGCTGTTTAAGGAAAGCTCCAAGGCTTGATTTAAATGGTAAAATAAATTGCTGAAAAGTTGAGAAATTTTTCCTTTCACCCTAGAAACACTGTTGATGAATTATATTTACTTACGTTCAACCTACTTGCACTGGGATTATTTATGAAAAGCTATATGGGGGTGGGGGGAATGCAAGAATCTTCGATACTGCTCCAGCCTATTCCAACAAAATTCTACAGTAAGAATCCAAAACATGAATAGGCAAATGTAGAAAAGAATAATGAGTGCACCCGGAGCTTTCGTTTCTGTTCTCACTGCTCCTGCCTGAACAAAATGCAGGGCAGGTTTTTGTTTTTTTTTAACTGTTTAGTTTGCTCACAACAGCAAAGGCAGAAACAATGCACATCTCTGCAAATTTCAGGTGGTAGCATTACTGACTGTAGCAGTTCAAGTCCAGCACCGCTGACTTTTGCTGGCAGAGAAATGGATCGGATGAGGAGGGCTGGGTTGTTCCAACCACTGATGGGTCAAGGGGAATCCACAAACACTTACGTTTTGAGGAGGCAGGGAAACATGAAGCGGGGGAGGGTTGCCTGATACAGCTTAAGTGGTATGACAGATGCATTGTTTTATCTGCAATTGCCATCTTGGATAGAATAAGCCCTGTTCCAAAATGTAAATGTAAAACACCAAAACAGTTTTTTAAAAAGTATGTTTCAGCAAGGCCTTGTAGTATTTAACTGAAGAAAAGTTTTCTGCATGTTAACATGTTGGCTGGGGTCTCTGCCCATTTGCTCAGGCATTCTAATCCTAGTCAGTCCAACTGCTTTACAGCTTGGACTGGGGTGGGCACAATCTCTTTGGAAAAGGTGATGACTGATCACATGCAATATAGCTGAATTCCAAAAGACAGGCATGCAAAAATGTAACACCATAACTTGTTTAGTGTTAAGCTACTCATAAATGCTCAGAGAAGACCTGCTCAGTAGTACCTTGAGTTCCTAGCACAGAGTTCTGAAAGTCATTTGGCCCAAAATTAATTTGACTTGGCGCCTAATTAGAGGCGATAGTGGCATGATCTCTGTGTTAAAATGAACAGGTATAAAGTGTGTTTGTCAGGGTGGAGGAAGGAATTTCATGGAGCAAGGGAGTAGGGAAAAGCTTCCTGAACTAACTGGTTGTTGGTGCCTATTGGGACTAATGGGGCACAAGGCAGGGAGACCAACATTAAGATGACCCAGAGCCAATCCCAGGCAGAGCCTATCCTTCTCTCTGCTGAGTTCTTCAAGTGTAGCACTAAGTAGGAAGACAGAGTAGGCTGAGGGCAGACTAAGGTTGGTGGTTCATTGCCCTCTTTGTCCTAATGAACCAGCCTTCTTCTTCTCATACTCCATGCACTACTGTCTCTCTAGCTACCTTTTTCCCAGTGTAGATTTTCTGGCAACTCTTGTTCTGGCGACTGTTGTTCTGATCAATCCATAGCAGACACCCATGAGGAAAGGCAGCACCATGGAAAGCTCCAAGTGAGCCACTTGTTCTGACAAAGGCTGGCAGTGAACTGAGTCTCCCCATCCAGTCTTCCTTCCACCTGCTCCCTTCCTTTGTGCCCAAAGAGTGTGAATTCTTAAATGGCCAACCCCAGCCTGAAGGCAAGCACTCCACTTCTTTTCTGTGGTATCCCACCTGGAAACCTTCTAGCACTGTTGAGCAGGTGCAGTGATGTGGAGATACTTTGGCAAGGGCAGTAGCTTAGTGGTAGAGCACTTGCTTTGCCTGTAGAGAGTCCCAGGTTACATCCCTGGCATTTTCACACAGAGATGGGAAAGAGTCCCTGTCTGAAACCATAGACAGCCACTGCCAGTCAGTGAGCTAAATGGACTATTGGTCTGAGTCAGTATAAGGATGCTTCCTATGTTCCTATGATTCTTCAGGCAAATAGAATTTGGGTTCTTGTCTCAGATTCATTAGGCTTCTGACCACTAGCTTCCTGCTTAGTATCAGGAAACCTCTCCAGTTCCTCAGCCAGTGGCATAACAGCCCCAGACTAAGCCAGCTCATCATCCTCTGACTCTGAGATTAAAGCCTCTCTCACACACACCCCTTGTGCTTTGTATCTGTTCAGAAGTGAGCTGCATTCTGAAAAATGAGTCTGCTGCTGTTATGCCTCAAGTGCACAGGAAGCTTATGGCCTTGGCAATAGTGCTACAGAGCTCCCGAACCCTTATCATGAGATTTAACCACAACACCATGTTTTTCTTAAAGACAAACAAACAGCAAGAGTCCTGTAGTTTGAGGGAATTAATGAGTCACGGATAAATGCATTCTTATGTCCCAGCTTTCATAGATTCTGAAGGATTCCCTGAACATGCCTAGCTGCAGTACAAGAGGGGATTTTTTTGTTTTGTAATCAAAGGTTTGGGGAATCTTCCATTTCCACACATTTCCAGTGAACATCACCCTTGTACCTTAAAGAAGAAAAGAAAAATCACAACCTGCAGTTAGTCCCTACATCCAGGGTTTGCATGTTTACTTGTAGATTACATTTTAAAAAGCAGTTGCAGCTGCCTGAAATGCCTTTTGTATTAAGTTTATTGCATAGGTATTTACAAGGGTTGGGAGAACTCCCCCAGCTCAGTTTGAAACTGGGTCAGCATTTGCAAGTTTTCTCAGCGAGTACAGTGGTACCTCAGGTTACATACGCTTCAGGTTAAAGACTCTGCTAACCCAGAAATAGTGCTTCAGGTTAAGAACTTTGCTTCAGGATGAGAACAGAAATCGGGCTCTGGTGGCACGGCAGCAGCAGGAGGCCCCATTAGCTAAAGTGGTGCTTCAGGTTAAGAACAGTTTCAGGTTAAGTACAGACCTCCGGAACGAATTAAATACTTAACCTGAGGTACCACTGTATTCAGAAAATTCATCTGCTTTCATAGTTCTCTCTTAGCTTGAAATGATGGTCATATGCACCTGCTCACTGGGAATTGTAGTTCCAAGCATTAGCCACAGCAGACAAAGGATTTAACCACTGCCACACTACACACAAACAAATTTATACATTGCTTTGTTATAGAAAACTTCAGTGTTTTACATTTTTTTTTTAAAAACACTAAGAAAAATAACAATAATTTAATACCTTTGAAAAGTTAAAATAACAATAGAAGAAAAACAGATTAAGACTCACATCAACTTTCTAAACATCTGGGTAGGCTTGTCTTAAAAAAAAAAATGTTTTTAGCAGGCACTGAAAAGAGTACAGTAAAGGTGCCTGCCTGATATCAATAGGCAGGATATACAGTGGTACCTCAGGTTAAGTACTTAATTCGTTCCAGAGGTCCGTTCTTAACCTGAAGCACCACTTTAGCTAATGGGGCCTCCTGGTGCCGCCACGCCGCCGGAGCACAATTTCTGTTCTCATCCTGAAGCAAAGTTCTTAACCCAAGGTATTATTTCTGGGTTAGCAGGGTCTGTAACCTGAAGCGTATGTAACCTGAAGCGTATGTAACCTGAAGCGTATGTAACCCGAGGTACCACTGTATTCCAAAGTATAAGTGCTGCCACACCAAAGATCAAGTTCTTAGAAATACAGAACCAGTCTTATGTGGCACCTGTAATTGTGCCAGTTCTGCTGCTTGACATGGTCGAGTGGGGACAAACAGGATAAAGTGGTGTCATATGCAAATTGATCCCAAGTTGTTAAGAGCTTTATAATACTAATAGCAACATCTTGAACTTGGCCTGGTAGCAAATCGGCAACAACTGCAGATCTCCGAGCACAGCTGTTCTATGCTGACAATGTGTCGCTCCTGTTAGCAATCATGCTGCAGCATTTTGCACTAACCACTTCCAGAATGAAAAACATGAAACTGTGTATATAATGGACAGTCAGAGAAACAATGAGACAAACAAAGCAGTCCTTTCCCTGACTTATACCTACTTGGTCCTTGGTGGCGGCCAAAGATATGCCACAAACATACCAGCACTGGATGCATAAAACACCGGTTTCATATGCGTGGAAATACATTAAAAACTTTCTATCTGTAGTATAATGTATGACATGAACCAAAAACTGAAGGGGGGGGGCAGATATTTAATGTCTTTATTGTGGGAAAAATTGTCATCATATCTTTCATAAATACAGAATAAGGCCCCAGATAACTGGGATAATTAAAAACACAGGTAGAATGACAAATATATCCAGCCAGATGGGACATTTTAAACCCTGGCAGAACTTCCATAGTGCATGGTGTTAAACCACTTCCATTAAAATCTCTCTCCCAAATTGCTATATACAGTTGGACACCTGTGGTTCACACGCTGCTGCATTAAATATTGAATCCTGAGTGAAAATAGCGCTTTGTCAGCCAAAGGTACTCACAAGAATTCCCCAAAAGGCTTAACAACACACTGGCTAATGGGAGATTAATCTTTTAGAACTAGAAGTTGACATATGCAGTCAGCATGTAGCATGCTGTATAGGCCTAAGAGCATGGTGAAGCGAGGATTTCTGCAGAGCTTTGCACATTTTTTAAAAAGAGCTGTTTCTTTCATGGGGCAACTCTCCAGCTTGGCCGTCAAATAAGCCAATGAAATATAATACAGTTGACCTCTCAGAGCAAATTAATTGTTGATCGCCCCCTGTACAACAAAGTCTGAAAATGCCAGTGTTGGATGCTGTAGTTAAAGGGTGCTTTGGGTAAATTATGTAAAGGGCTGAAATTCAAAGCTGTATTTACCATATGGCTCTTATTTCTTCCAATATTTAAAGAGATCTCTTTCAGTGGGGTCCTTACCAGATTTATTAACAAATTGAAGGGTTTATCTGCAATATAGACAGAAACTAACTGTCGTTCTTTTACACAAGTAATTCCTGCAGTTCTGTGAGGAAAGGAATCTCTAACAAACAGTTTTCAGCACCCTGATTCAGAGCCAAGCTAAACAGTGATTAGCTACCCACTTTTAAGTAAAAATAAATAAATAAATGTTTTAGTATTTTAACTTTTATATGCTTTAAAGTAGGGTTGTAATTTTTTTCTTGATTTATTTTTTTTCTTGTTTGTAAACCACATTGAGGTATTTTGTTTTTCCCCCCCAATCAAGCGGTGCATAAATTTTTTGAAAAAAGAAGGAGGGGTTCCGTTTACACTAATTGCCAGCATGGAGGGCCCAATCCAGACTGACGCTAGAGACTTTAACCCTTGGTCACCTGCCAGATGAGCGTACACACACACACACACACACCTGCATTCTAGGGGGGAAAGCCTCCATTGAAGTTAATGCAACCTTCCTCCCAATTCAACTTGCAGGTGTGGGAGGCCTGATCTGGATCCAGTGAGGGTCAAAGTGTGAAAGCCTCCTATTACCACCACCAGTGGGTCCCAATACAGGCTAAGACCCCACACTGTCAGTCTGTGGAGAAGGGAAAATGCCTGCTCTTAAAGGCACAGGTACTTAATGTCTGGTCCTCAGATGGATGCCATGACAGTTAAACTGCCTCAAAACTGATGCAGATTTGTGGTGTACATATACCCTTGAAGAATCCCGCCACTTCCTTTTGTTTTCTTTTTTGCATCCAATCTGCAAAAAAAAAACCTCATCGTGTTGCGAAGCTCTGTCCCAGAAAGTTGAGGTTACACAAGGACTCACACCCAATATCACTCTAAGGGAGTAAGCAGGTTCAGTTTGATTTCCCTGGTGAGAGGCTGGATCAAAATAGCAGTACAAATTAATGCAACAACATCTTGTCGATATTAGCCATTCTTGCAGAGAAATCTGAAAGGGAGGCAGTTAACAAATCCCATAAAATAAACTTCCAGTTAGGCCCTGCTGGGCTGGATTCTGAGGTACATCTGCTCCCAGATAACTGTATTCCCAACTCTGGATCCGTCGGCTAACTGACCTAAGCAGGATGTTTAAGGACTGTGTGGAAATGAACTTTAACCAAAAGTATGTTTTATGGAGATTGAGTAAAGAATAAGAGCTTTTGGAGTGACGCAGCAATAAAAACAGTTGCCATCTTGCCAGGCTTTGTCAAAGGATTTACAACCGGGAGGAGGAATGGATTTGTTTTTGGACTGCATTTCTGGGGAACCTCCTCAGAGGTTGGATAAAGGCGACAGACTTGTAAAGATTAACGACGGTTAGACTGTTTTTATTTATGGAAGTGATGATATACGGAAACAGTCTGAATATGATTCTTGGATGAATAAAAATATCCACACAGGATTACAACTTGTTTTAAGCCGCTTTGGAGAGCATCAGAAGTCACAAAGAGAAAGGAAAAATATATGAGAATAACAAGAGGAGATGTGGAAAACAACAAGAAAGGAGTGGACAGTATTGTGAACATCATATGGACAGATCTGTGGACATTAAACCAGTAGTAAGAAGATGATTGGATCTCTTCGGAACTTGAAATATGGGTACCCCCAACAAAAATTTAAAATTCGGCTTTGTAATTTGGAATTTATGTAATTTGGTTTGATTTGATGTGATTGGTTGGTTAATAAAAAATATTTTTTTAAAAAATCCCATAAAATAAACTTCCAGTTAGGCCCTGCTGGGCTGGATTCTGAGGTACATCTGCTCTCAGATAACTGTATTCCTAACTCTTCCATATAGTGTAATGTCAGACTGCCCAGCCACCTAGTGGAGAAATGTTAGGTTCCAGTTACTTTGCAGCAAGTTTTTAAACTGAGGGTTACAGCTTCCTTTTTCAAACAAGGGTTGATGACAGGCAAATCTATCCTGCTTCTAACTGGCCTTCAATCCATGCAGAAAAACCTCAATCCAGATCCCAGCCTCTCTTTACAGCTCTCTTCTTGGATGCTTCTGTCACATTCATGCCAAACTCCTGATCTCTTCCGTATACTTGGCAGGTATCTCTAAGAAGGGTGGATATTTGTTGGCAAACCTATTTAGTCTAAAACACTGAGGAACCACTGAAATAATACTAATTCTTCTCCTATCGTATTTCCCAGAGACAGCTTCCAGGAGTATTTCCAGGAGTATTTCCCATGCAACATGACTTACTTCCCAATGAACCTTGACTCCCAGAGTGTGCAGCACATGTGTTTCATGGGTGGAAAAACATGTGAGCATCTCTCACACACATAGTAAAATTGTGTCTAAGTAAGAACAACATGAACACTGCCTGCTGAATATAAGGATATGCTCAAATGGCAGTTTCTCACTGTAGGCTCTCATTGTAATGCTTGGCACTACTACACTGAAAGTGGAGGAAGCATCCCAGTAATGGCAGGTATGTCTCTTTCAGTGGGCCTCCCTCTTTGGACCCCAAAATCTGCAAAGCCAATGCGAGTCCCACGATGACCCACATCTGTGATATGGGCTGGCCTGAATGGGGGACAGGGGAAAGGGCTTGGTTCCTGCCACCATTGCCATTTAGATTAGATTCTTCTCTGACCCAGGAGGGTGATCAACTGCTGTATAGGTCAGAGAGCAAGATTTCCTCCAGAACAAGATTGCTGTCCAAGCAGATTATGCAGTGCTGAGATGTTGCATCAACAATGGGGCATCAGCAGGGCATATATCCAGGGCATGTATGGGCTGTAGTTTCTTGCTGTTGAAGAGGGATCAGGGGAAGTAGGCCTTGAAATTCCAAAAAGCCTTCAGGTGTGGACCTCTGCTCAGACCCACACACTGCTGCCCGTGCTTCTGGTGACAATTTTGTAGAAGAAGAACTTGGGACAAGTCAGGATGTAATTGGTAGCCCTGAATCTCTCACTCTTCCAAGTGATGCACTTCTATGAGTGGTGATCTCAGGAAGTTTCTCCATTTCCAGTGACTCCCCTTGACCCTCAGTCTCACTAACACTAGCAATGGGGGTCTTCCGCCTCTGATGAAGTCTCCCGACTCTGGCTCTTGTCCTGGTAAATGAAGCGGCTTGGTGCATCTGCTCCACTCTTGGATTGTTACAAGGATACAATCTAACCGGATAACTTGCCTTTGGCAGTTCAACAACAATATTCTCTGCCCCTTTCTTCCAAAAGACTTCACTGTATCAACTAGCCTACTTTGTACTATTATAATTGAAGTTGTCATGAGTCATTTCCAATGGCCTTTGTTTAGTTTTTCTGAGGAACTAGGAGTGATGGTTTGCTATCCATAGAAGGTTAAAAAATGTACTTCAATAGCCGGTTGGATTTCAGTTAGCTGGTTCTTGGCATCTCTCATCGCTGATTAATGATGCTAAGAACAAAGTAATCAGAGGAGCCAAGAGTAACGCAACTGTGAACAAATGAAGTAGGCCAGAAAATGTTTCAGATTCTAAGGACTTCTATTTGCTTTTTTCCTTCATTGTCATAATCAGCCAGCTTCTTGTGTGATGTATACAAATAATGAGTTTCCTTTGATATAAACAAAGTCTGATGTAAACAAAAACCAAATTAAAAAGAGCTTAGCCAAAATGAGGAGGATGAGTTGTGATACAGATAAAGACGTTCATACACTAAAAATTAAAGTTGTTATTTCTGTAAACATGGAGCTTGGTGAATGAATTACGGACATGAAAAGAGATGTTATGGAAAGGAAACTTTAAATCTGTGATTCCAAGGACAAGCATTTGTGTCCTAAAGCTGTCAGGGAAAGAAAGATGTGCCCTGAATTTTCTGAAGAATTAGCAGGGACTCTTTATTAGGGAATGCTGACTGCCATGAAGTGGCCTATATTAACAGATTACTAAATAAAAGCAAGCTGTGCTCTATTTCTATACAAATGTAAATTTCTCTGGAAATACGGCTCTCTAATTTGAAAGTCCTTCCTCTAATCCCTGATGGGCGAGAATTCCCTGTATATATCGGCTGGTGACAAAAATGTGCTCTGTGTGTCTCCGAAGGAATTTAATATATTTTTATGTGAGGTATTCTAGCAGGAGGCCATGGAAACAACTTAGGCGCTAAATGCAAGGCTATATACTCCATGTAACAGCTTGCCATGGTGCAGGATGCTGTGTCCACCCAACGCTTATGTGGACTGAGACAACTAAGGACCTTCTTATTCCTGACCAGATGGTCTGAAGGAGAATGGAGCTAAGATGGGAATTTACACATCAACAAAAAAGAGAATTAGAGGAGACATATAAATATACTATATGCAAATCTTTATTTACTGTAATTACTTCACCTCACTGAAGGCTGTTCCTAGATGATGTGTGTGGCTGTTCAGTCTGCAGTCTTCCCATAGGATCTTTGGCTGCATTCCTCTACCCACTCCTGAGAGTTCTAGTGCTGCAGAAGAGAGAGAAGTGTATCTCCACTATGCATAGACCTCCCCAAAGCTTCATTTAAAATAGGGGGGAGAGAGAGAGAGAGAGAACATCAACCCTCTCCCACCATCTTTCACCTTCTCGGTAGTGGCACCCACCCTGTGGAACGCCCTTCCACCAGATGTCAAAGAGAAAGACATCTGAAGGCAGCCCTGTTTAGGGAAGCTTTTAATGTTTAATGTTTAATTAGAGTATTGTATTTTAATATTCTGTTGGAAGCCGCCCAGAGTGGCTGGGGAAACCCAGCCAGATGGGTGGGGTATAAATAGTAAATTGTTGTTGTTAGTGGTGGTGGTGGTGCTGCTGCTTGCAGAGAAAGTGCCTCACCACTTTGGTTATTTTAATTCTCTTTTTGTTTATTTTTCAACTCCATGAAGTTCTAGTTTTAAATGTAGTAACAATGCACACCCATCAAGGAAATGTGGTCAGGTTCTCTCTATATCCTAGTCAATCCCTCAGTAATGTTTTGCAGTAAAGCCGAGAGAGTCATTTCCAGTTGCATTTGCAATATGAAGGTTTGCTGGCCCCATAAGCACAATTCCTCACTATATGAGAATTCCTTCTCATCCCTTTCCTATTGCTTGGCTCTGACAATATATTATTTTTTTCATCTTTTTCTGGGTTTTATAGCATATGCTGAACCCAAATTCTGTCCTTCCTTGCTGTCCACATGCACAAATGATGAAAGATGTCAGGTTTTCTTCTATTTCCCCCCTTTTCCTTTTCCTAACATTCTTGATGTGTGAGATATTAGGTGTACCCAATTCTTTTCCAAGAGAATCAAGGCCCCTCCAGGTGTCCTTTTTATTGTGCATTCATGATAATTTGTGGTCATCAGGTCGTTATACGCAGTCCACTTCTGATAATGTTTGTGCTTGCAAAAGTTTTGTTGTGATTGTAATGTTCCAGATTACTTTTTGTCCTGCTTTTGTGATGGCCCTCCCAGTGGCAACAATGCATTAACATTAAGGAAGCATCACATTCAGGAAACAACTAATGGCATGGAAGTGGAATGACGTGCGGATGGTCCACTATATATCTGCCACAAATGCACTAATATCGCGTCATTGACATGTTGCAGAACACAACCACAAAAATTTAAAGAACTCACAACTTTAATTCTAGGACAGAATAATCATCAATCCTGCTTTTGCAGAATAGGAAGTGAGGCTAAGACTGTGTACTCATTACTGGTTTAAAACACAGTGAGCTCATTATTTTTATCAATTTGGATTGAAGCTGTTTTATGAGAAAGAGCATCAAAGTGCAATATTTCTCAAAGAACAACAGGACTGGGACAGGCTGGATATGAATCGTGGCTAATTTATGTACATCGCTTCCCAAACCAGCAGTGGGAGGGCAGTGGTTGCAGTGTAAATAGGAGTGCATATGCAGTCTATGAAGAGGTAGTGCATTGCCTAGGGTTATCCATGGATCAAATTTAGAACTATTCGCTCTAAGTCCTAAATGACAACTACCAAACGAATGGGTTTCATGGAGAATTGATATTGGATCACATACTGATCCCACTTGGACTACATTTATATGTTACGGAGGAAGGAAAAAAGAAAATAATGGAAAGTAATTTAATTAATGACCACTCCACTTAACTGCTCAGAAATGCACAGAAATACTGCACCCTTTGTATCACTTGATGCAAAAAGAAAAAAGTAACAGTTTGGTTTATTCAAACTTTTAAATCCCTGCTTGCATCATTTATTTGTAAGTGCTGAATAAGGACCTAAATCCACCAATATTAACAAGGGACAAGCAAACATTATTCTGACATATTGGCTGTGTAATGTCATCCGCCCAGCAAGACCATACATTTTTTAAAGATGCCTGTAATCTCTAATGTGTTAATGTATTATTTGCTTTGGTGTCTACCCAAATCCCATTATGGAGGTTTTAATATGTTCATTCACTGCTAATTACTCCCAGTAGTGCCTGATAACAAAATGGAACCATAACCACTATTTCCCTTCACGATACTTGAATAAGTAAAATAAATATTACTGTACATTTAAATGGATCTGTGGAAATATTTATGAACTGTGCACAGACATATTCAGTCGCAGGTTATTTTAGACTGTAATCCTGATCACGACTCAACCCTCTCTCAATTCTCCTCCTGTTATTCTTTGTTCTTGTTCCAATGGGAACATTAGAGGTTATACTAGAATTGAACACAAGCTTCTACCCAGTGTTTGCAATAAGAACACCAGGCATATTCTCATTCTCTCTCTCTCTCCATACCCTCATGCACTACAACAAAGGCTATGTACACATCATATATTTAAAGCATACAACTTGCCCCAAATAATTTTGGGAGCTGTAGTTTACCCGTCACAGTTACAATTCCCAGAACCCTTAAACCCCTTAACAAATTACAGTCCCCAGATTTGGGGGAAGTCATGTGCTTGAAATGTATGGTGCATAGGCAGCCATAGTTTCAGGCCAAATGGATACCTATTGGAAAAGGCAGGTACATTATGCAAATGTATATCCCCAAGGAATGAGAGAACAGGGGGAAAGTCCAGCTTCCTTTTTTAGAGTAAAAAAAAACCCCAGACAAACCCTACATCAACCTTTTCCATCCCGGTGCTGTCCAGATATTTGGGGCCACAACTCCCATCTGAACTTTAGTCCAGGGCATGCCCTACATAATCACCTTACCTCTTGCTCTGGAGATACATTTGGAGAAGTGGAGAAGGCCAAAGGCAGGAACAAAGAACATGTAATTTATGCTACAACGAAGGCATGCTTTCCCTTCCACCTTCTGCCTGTGTTTTGTTGCTGCAGGAAGAAAAATTGTATTCCCAGCAGTTCTGGGGTTGGTCAGAGGGTAGTGTTATACAGTATAAGCTATATGAAAAAGGGAAATTCTTTTGTAGAAGCTGTACTGTGCAAGAAAAGAATTCCAATCTTGGCTGCTGCGCTTATGTGAACTGTTTAGTCAGGCTAGGAGGGAGTTAAACACCTGTGTACCCCTGGGATCCAGTTGTGAGGATTACAGCTGCCAAGAAAGGAAGAAAATCTTCATCAAAAGCAGCTTGCTTGGGCAAGCATCACTTATTGACATAAGTAAAGACCTGCTGAATCAGGCCAGGGCCTATCTATTCTCCAGCAATCTGTTTTCACAGTGGCCAACCAATTCCCATGGGAAGCCCATAAGCTAGGCATCAGGGAGAAAGCACTCTCCACAGCTGAGATTCACAGCAACTGGTATTCAGGGAAATACTGTCCCCAACAGTGGAGACTGATCATTGGCATATTGGCTAGCAGTCATTGGTAGCCTTATCTTGCATATAACTTGTATGGCTGCTTGTGAATTACAAATAATTCTTTCCTAGTTAGTACTTCGGAATAATTTAACTGTATTTTGTTCCTGTGGAGCCCAACACCCATCTTTCCCCTTATTAGGGGTGAGAGCACAGCCCATACAGCAGTACATACACCCCATTGTGTCATCAGAGGACAATCTATGAAACATTACTGTACTTATGGATTTATGAATAAGTGTGAATACGTCGTATAACCTTCTCTCCTAACTCAATTGCTTTAGACTGGGAAGATTTTTTGTTGTTACTGCATTACACTGAGGGAAACACATGGACATGCAGGCTTTAAACAAATAACTTTTTACATTTTTCTCAAAGCTGGGTCTCTCTGGAATATCTCTTGTGTAACTATTTCATGAAAGCAGTTTTATGACTGTTTATAAATAATAGATTCTGAATAAAACTATCTGTTCCCTGATGAAAAGAAAAGAATGGGAAAAATTAAATAAGGAGTGCATTCCTAGCATATATCAATATTATTTATTAGAAGACCTTTCAAAAAGTTTTCCCAGTTTGTCTGAATGAGGACAGAAAGCTTTAAATCTGTGATGTAAGAAGTGTGTATTTTAATGATATTATCTCTAAAGTGATTAGCAAGTTTATGGGATAGGAAATATGAGGAAAGTTCCTTGGTTTTTGAGTATAAATCACATTTAGCACTTACTCCTCTGTACCCTGGCGCTAGAACCGAACAAGATTGTCCTATTTAATATGTCCGATAAATCTAAACTGGAACAGTTATACAATCTTGAATCTATATTCTGATTTGTTAGCTTTTTGTGCTGGGGGTGAAATCAATATTGAAAACACGTCGCTGCATTTTGTTGGCACTCTGGTATTTTTCCAAGCAATTTTAAACAATAAAAAGGAACCAACAGTTAATCTGAAAACTGAATGTATAGAGTGTGATTTGTACTGACAAAATAATGACCTTACAGACTGGAAGACTATGTACAGTAATGGAAAAGACCACAAACTTATCCATATGATTGTGCAGAGAACCCTAATACAGAGCTGGTTTTGTCTTTCTGATAAACACCTCAGTGTATGTTCATCCACAGAACTAGCAGGCCCTCCTGTTGATTCTTTTTGTGCATCCTTGGCTGAGCACATCCCATATGCAATATCCATCCTGCCAGTATAGTGGTAGCATATCTCCGACTCCAATGTAATTGACATATGAGATTGCTCTACCAATTGCCTAACCAAAAAGATAATAGAGAGAGCTGCCTTGGAAAGTATAATGATGGGGAGTGTATATGTGTTTCGGGGGGGGGGGGTGTCAATATTAACCACCACATGTATGTCACAAAGTAAACTTGATAAGCAGATTTGTATTTAAATTAAGAACAAGGCAAAGAGAAAGGATTTCTCTTAGCAACAGAGCAAATATGAAGCATTGGAAAAAATATTCCTTCGGTCCAAAAGAAACATATTTTAAATAAAAGCAATGCAATTTTGACAACCACCATCAAATACCACAGGGTTAAATGATCCTGAAGCTAAAGTTCACCTGGAAGCCATATGAACGGCCTCACCCTTTGCCAAATTCAATTTTGCTGCTTCAGAAACCTGCTGGCCAGCCAACTGCACATTTCTCAACAACACTGCAACGGTACCTAAGGGATACATTTCAAATAGCAAGCTGAGTGTTTTTGGCACTCTGCTGAGAACTTGCATTGTGCAGGCAAATCGCTATCCAAGAGGCAGCAGGCAGGATCAAGAGGCACAATTAAAAAGAAATAGGCAGGCACCTGAGAAAAAGTGCTGAAGGCCACAACCTGGCTGTATCCCAGCAAACAGAAAAAAACTGGAACTGTATCTGCAAAAAAGAATGGTAAGTGCTTATTGCAAAGCGGCAAGAAAATATGCCTTGTATTGTGCTTATCACTAGCCATTGGTATCTTTTAGAAAGTAATCTGTGATGACCAGTTGAAGAAAAGCATGTCCACATGGTGGTAAGTTATGGGGCCATAAAGACTTATTTTAGGCCTTCTGGTACCTGCAGACCATATGGGAACGATACAGCAGCTAACTGGTCTCTTGCTGGTCCAACAGACCTAGTTCCAGGTGGTAGGGTATCCTAGACACAATTTAGAGAAGCAGAACCCTTTGGCTATAGACAATAAACACTAATTAAGGACCTAACTGAACATTACATTAGCGCTGTGATTAGCCATCACATCAAAAGTTTTTTAAAATAAAATACCGGGCCAGAGTGAAATGGGAAGGCATAGCTATCGGCACTGCAACACATGAGTCTCTCTCCCCCCCCCACCCGCATGCTATATGATCACAGATGGCAAGAGAAGATGTAAAGTGTCCCTTCCAGGGCACTTTGGGCCCAGTGGCTACTGTGGCAACGATCACCAGTAAATGCACTTGGCATTTTATTTTTTGAAGCCTATGATGTGATTGCTGATCGTATTGTTAATGTAACATGATCAACACACTTTGTGTAGAAGTCCATGTCTCTCAGAGTGCCTTGTTTTGTCTAGGAAAATGTATACGATCAGGATGGCTAAACTATGGCTGCAAGGGTTTTTTAAAAAAATAAAATTGAGAATGATTTAGTTAAAATAATATCTGTTAATAATACCTTTTGAAAGAATTTTTTCTCCAGACATTTCAGTGAAATAGGCATTTCTCTGTTACCTGTCTGAATGAAAGAAGGGACAGAGATGCAATGTTAAATGTGACTTTGTGCAGAATGTGCATTAGAAATTTTAATTTAAAAGCAAATAGTATCTGCTGGGGGTGGGGTGTATCTAGGGCTGCCATATGTCCGGAATTTCAACAACCTTTGTGTCTGGATTTTCACTTTTTTAAATATGGCAACCCTATGTGTATCAATACTTATCAGGATAGCAGCAGGCATCACTAGGGTACTTCTCCAATGCAAATAATTTTTGTAAACCACTTTGAGGTGTGTTTCCTTTGTTTATTACTCAAGTGGTACATAAAATTTGCAAAATAAATAAAATAATAAATAGCAGATATTGAGAAATGGGAAGGATCATGGCTCAGTTTTCATGCTTTTCATGCAAAAAGATCCCAGGTTTCATCTCTGGTGTCTGCAAGTACAACTGAGAAAGACTCCCTACGTATTACCTTGAAAGAAGAGCCTCTGTCTGTCAGCGTCAACAGTACTAAACTAGAGGGACAAATTGTGGGAATGTTCACGGAGGCAGGAGAGGCTATATTGTTTATTAATATCCTTCCTAACTTGTACTAGCAAGTTCTATAACTTAGCAGAGTTTTACATTCCACTTTTAAACGCACAGCAGGTAGCTGGTTGCAGGCTTGTTTAAGCCTCTCAATATTAGATTCCTGTAAGTTCCCTTAGGTAAAGGTAAAGGGACCCCTGACCATTAGGTCCAGTCGTGACCAACTCTGGGGTTGCAGCGCTCATCTCGCTTTATTGGCCGAGGGAGACAGCGTACAGCGTACATGTGGCCAGCAGGACTAAGCCGCTTCTGGAGAACCAGAGCAGCGCACGGAAACGCCGTTTACCTTCCCGCCGGAGCAGTACCTATTTATCTACTTGCACTCTGACGTGCTTTCGAACTGCTAGGTTGGCAGGAGCAGGGACTGACCAACGGGAGCTCACCCCGTTGTGGGGATTCGAATCGCCGATCTTCTGATCGGCAAGTCCTAGGCTCTGTGGTTTAACGCACAGCGCCACCCGCATCCCTGGGAGTTCCCTTATATCCCTCTTAAAAGAATAAACACACCACAAACTTGTGTAAAGTATACTGTATAAAAGAAGTTTACTCACGTCATCAGTTCACAGTTTGATCCCTGAAGGCAGACTTAGTTACAAAGTGGATCTATCCCATACGGAGAGTCAAAAGTCAAAAAGAGAGAGATGGCTGCTTGCCCTGTCCTTTTGTGTTACCTAGGCAGGTAAGGTCAGGCCCACATCTAGTCACATGCAAAGGAAGTATGTCCCAGCCAGGAGGAAACAGGAAGTTTTTGACTGGCTGGACCAAACAGTCTCTCGCATGTCCACTCTAGGAAAATAAGGAATGTTGTATTTGACTGCTACTTATGTATCACATCCCACACAAATGGTATGACTCGGTACAAGGAAACTTCCTAGGTTCCTATGATTTTCCTCAGAACTGAAGCAGGAAAAGAAAGGGTTAAATTCCTCTCTTGGTCTGCTGTGATTCCCTGGCCCCTGCCAGCAGATGCACTTTTGCACTGGATCTACACATTCTGTAGAAGGCAACCAGCGTCTAGTTGGGTCCAAATATTCTATTTCAGGCAAGCTATTGTGGCTTTAAGGAGGAAGGAAGGAAGGAAGGAAGGAAGGAAGGAAGGAAGGAAAGAAGGAAGGAAGGAGAAGTTCTACAATGATGCTGTTATGCATCATTTCTCTCAGCAGGCTTGGAATAGCAGAGTGGGGAGCTGCCAAGGCGCAGGAAAATCCAAACTGTCCAACAACAATGAACGTTGGAAGACAAACACCAGGTGAAAACACGATAAGCACCTGTCGTCGTCATCCGTTTATTTGTCACTTTTCCAACAAAAATGGTGCTCACAAAATTGTCTAGTGGTACTTCCCACAGTATAACTATTTGATTAATTATCCAGTTATCAGGTTTGGACCACAGGGACTGACTTATCTATCAGGTGGTTACACGAACACAGGTAAATGGCATCTGTACTCATCCACAGAGTTCCAGATAATAACTGGGATGTCAGAAAAAAAGAGGTTTTGTTCCACTTACCGTATTTTTCGCCCTATAGGATGCACTTTTCCCCCTCCAAAAATGAAGGGGAAATGTGTGTGCGTCCTATGGGGCGAATGCAGGCTTTTGCTGAAGCCTGCAGAGCGAGGGGGGTCGGTGCGCACCAACCCCTCTCGCTCTCCAGGCTTCAGGAAGCTATCCGCTAGCCGTGGGAGACGCAGCTCTCCCACACTAGCGGAGAGCTTGCCTGCACCCAGAAGCTTGGGGCGCGCTGAGCTCAGCACACCCCGAGCTTTGGGCTCCGCTAGCCGTGGGAGAGCCGTGCGAAGTCGTGCGGCTCTCCCACGGCTAGTGGAGACCTTGCCGGCACCCAGAAGCTTGGGGCGTGCTCAGCTCAGCACGCCCCAAGCTTGGGGCTTCGCGCAGCGCTCCGCTAGCCCACGGCTAACGGATAGCAGCCTGTTCTGGGGGCTGGGGTCAGGGGAAGCTCGGGCTGGGGGGGAAATCAATTTTTTTTCCTTTATTTCCCCCCAAAAAAACTAGGTGCGTCCTATGGGGCGAAAAATACGGTATGTTTCTGAGTGAGTGTGCTCATGCGTTAAAAGTCTTTAGATTTGGGAACACTCTGAAATTTGAATAATTTCACCCTTTCAATAAAAACCCTTCCACATTCCTGCCAAAGAAGGGAGTCTTCTTTAGAACATAAAGTATCCTTGGCTTGACTGTGATCTTGATGACAGCTGACCTCTCCATACATGAGCAGGGGAGTTTGTTTCATTGCCTGGAATCTTCCCACTTATTTTGAAGTTTGTATGTTTTATGTCAGTACTGTAGGAGCTTATTTGAATAGCCTAGATAATCAAAGCCAGTCTTTGATCATTGGAAGGACCACATTGTGGTTTGTTGGGTCTAATATTAATGAGTAATTAGAATAAAAGCATACTGACTTTTTAAATGTAATAATAATAGGCTACAAGTTTACCTAGGTCAAAAGTAAGTTATCTTGTTAACATCTTTATTTGTGTAGATCCCTGACCAAATGTGTGTTAAATTTCTTTACCAGCTAATCTAAATGACCTCAAAGTAGTTTCATGACAGCTATCCAGTTAATGAAGAGCAGCATTATATAATAACAATCTTATTTACAGTGGTGCCCCGCAAGACGAATGCCTCGCAAGACGGAAAACTCGCTAGACGAAAGGGTTTTCCGTTTTTGAGCTGCTTCACAAGACGAATTTCCCTATGGGCTTGCTTCGCAAGACGAAAACGTCTTGCAAGTTTGTTTCCTTTTTCTTAACACCGTTAATACAGTTGCGACTTGACTTCAAGGAGCAACTCATAGAACGCAGTGTACATAGTAGCCTTTTTTGAGGTTTTTAAAGACTTTGGTGATTTTTGAAACTTTTCCAAAACTTCTTTTGCAGCCAAGTTAAGCTTTTAAAACTTTTTTGGGGGTTTTTGGATTTTGGGTTGGGGTGTTTGGAATTCAAGGACTTGGTGTTGGGGAGGGGTTTGCAAGAATCTGGAAGCTTGTGTGTCTTTTTTCTGCATTTTTTATGATTTTCTGTGACCATTGGGCCACTCTGCTGTTTTTTTTAAAAAAATTCTGGATTTGAATTTCTGTGTGCTGGGTGGCTGGGGGAACAGTTGGGGAGGGGTTTGCAAGAATCTGGAAGCTTGTGTGGTTTTTTTCTGCATTTTTATGATTTTCTGTGACCATTGGGCCACTCTGCTGTTTTTTTTTAAAAAATCTGGATTTGAATTTCTGTGTGCTGGGTGACTGGGGGAACAGTTGGGGAGGGGTTTGCAACAATTGGGGAGGTTGTTGTACCAAATTTGGCTTTGTTTGGACTTTTTTTGACCATAGGAACGCATTAATTGATTTTCAATGCATTCCTATGGGAATTCGTGATTCGCAAGACGAAAAATTCGCTAGACGAAAAAACTCGCGGAACGAATTAATTTCGTCTTGCGAGGCACCACTGTATTGGGGAAGCCAGGGAGATACATTTTAATAAGAAATTTATAAAATACAGTGTCATTTGCAAAAGATTATATAGGTATATAGAAAGAACCTAAAGAAAGCACCATGTAATATAATAATAATAATAATAATAATAATAATAATAATAATAATATCTTTATTGTCATTGCCCCCTTCGGGGACAACGAAATTACTTGACTGCTCCATAAAAACACTAATTAATCAATACAGTATAATACAGCAAGGGAGATTAGATGACTTTCAAAGTCCGGGCTTCCCATTCAGGGTCGAGATCGCTCTGGAGAAGAAGCTGTTCTTAAGACGGCTCGTTCTTGTCTTCATCGTCCTGTATCTCCGTCCCGACGGCAAGAGCTCGAAGAGACAGTGACCAGGATGCGATGGATCTTTTACTATGTCCAGTGCCTTCCTATGGCACCTTGTGGCATAAATCTGCTCTAAGGTGGAGAGTGGGCAGCCAACAATGCTCTCTGCTGCCTTAACAACCCTGCACAACCCCATCCTGTCCTGGGTAGTACAGCTTCCGTACCACACACATAAGCCATAAGTGAGCACGCTCTCAATGGCACAGTGATAGAAGGCAAGCAGCAGTTTCTGCGGAAGATGGTTTTTCCTTAGTATTCTCAAAAAGTACAGTCTCTGCTGCGCCTTCTTCACAAGCCCCCCTTGTGTTGACACTCCAGGACAGATCCTCTTGTAATTCAATGCCCAAAAATCTGAACGTTGTTACCCTCTCCACACAGACCCCATCAATCAAAAGTGGCTGGACGTTGCTCTTCTGTCTCCTGAAGTCCACCACAAGCTCCTTTGTCTTCCTTGTATTTATGAGCAAGTTGTTAGCTCTGCACCACTCTGTCAGCCGCTCCACCTCATCTCTATAATCCGTTTCACCCTCCCTTTCAGAGATGAGCCCAATCACGGTTGTGTCATCTGCAAATTTGACAACCCTATTACTAGGGTGAGTAGTGACACAATCGTACGTGTAGAGAATATAAAGGAGTGGACTGAGTACGCATCCCTGTGGTGTTCCTATGTTAGTCTTGAGCATATTAGAGGTATAGGGGCCCAACCGAACCCTCTGGAAAGCTGGGATTTTCATGTAACCAATATTATTATTATTTATTTAATCCCATTTATTAATCGCTTCCTGTGATACATCTTAAAGTGAATTAACATGCAGCTCTCTTTCTCCATAACATTTGAATCACAAATGATTAAGCATGATCTGGACCATCATGTGGATGCAGTGATGGACTGGATGAGTGCCAATCAACTGAGTTGGAACCGTGGCAATAGGGAGGCACTATGTGATAAGTAACAGGAGGGAATTTCAGAGGGTAGGTGCAGCCAGACCACTTAAATTCAAATGGAAAGGCAGTCCTGTTGTATTGTTTCATTGATTCAATTTATATTTTGGTTGCATCAGTTTTGAACTTTCACTTTTCTAGCAATTTATTTTATTTTATTTTATTTTATTTTATTTTATTTTATTTTATTTTATTTTATGTATGTATGTATGTACCCTGCTAACTTGACACTGAATTCATTCTCACATGAGCCCACATAAAGTTAGCATTTTCCTACCTCTGCAATATTTTATTTTGTTTTTCCCCACATATAATAAACATAATTTAAAATAGCTGCTCCTGTTGTTTATTGCAGATTTTGTCATGTCAACTGTGAGTTGGCTTTCAAAAGTCGGCTATATATATCCACACTCTACTGATTAACTAATAATACTGTGAAAGGGGCAAACCTGTACACACTTGCAGTACAAGTGTGTGTATACAAGTGTCTGCTCAAAAGCAAGTCCACTGCATTGAGTAGGACTTAAGCTGTATGTATAGTATGTCTCAGTGGGCAAAATGGCCTTCATTGGCGTGCATAGCAGCAGACTACAAAAACAAATTTAAAAAATGAAAGACCATTGTTGACAACATAAGATGGCATTTAGCTAGACCTATTGAAAGTAATAGACCTAACTTAACTATGTTCATTAGTTTCAGTGGGGATACTCTGAGTAAAACTTAGTTGGACACCACCCAATGAGTCCATTTTCAGAGCAGTAATTTGTCCACCCAATCAGTAAGATTCAAAATGTTCATTATCTATAAACCAGAAGTACTCAGCAGTTATAGTTACAGGGCAACCCTATGCCTGTTTACTAAGAAGAAAGTCCCACTGACTTCAGGTACAGTAAATGTTTACAGTGGCACCTCGGGTTACAGATGCTTCAGGTTACAGACGCTTCAAGTTACAGACTCCACTAACCCAGAAATAGTACCTCAGGTTAAGAACTTTTCTTCAGGATGAGAACAGAAATCGGGCTCTGGTGGCACGGCAGCAACAGGAGGCCCCATTAGCTAAAGTGGTACCTCAGGTTAAGAACAGTTTCAGGTTAAGAACGGACCTCTGGAACAAATTAAGTTCTTAACCAGAGGTACTACTGTATAAGGAACGCAGCCCTAATCTCATTGCAGTCAAGAAAACTTTAAGGACTCTTATCAAGGTCACACATCAATTCAGCATGAAGAGTGTATTCCAGAAATATTGATATTGGTTTATGAAGGCAGTCCTTCTCAAAAGACTCATGGCCTGCTTAGGCACCAGCTGGTATTGAAGATGAAACTAAGGAGACATTGATCTTTCCACCCATTTTTAAGATTTTAAAAGATCTTTGGTGTCTTCATAAGCTGAGGAATTGATTTCCCTACTATTTTCATGAGACATGCAGGAAGATGGAGCCATTAGCTTTGCGCATTAGAAGGGGAGTTCAATCAATATAACGGGGCGATATGAGTGGAAAGAAGAGACTTCCTAGTGAGAAAGACAATGCTGGTTTAAGAAAGGGATTGCCTGTAAAAGAGCTGAGAAATTGTTTTCAATTCTTAAATGGGAGTGAATGTTTGCCTAAGTCTCTGATAACCATCGAACCATAATAAACTTGAAAGATAGACTCCATACAGTTGCTAAGACACAGTCAGGTTTATTATGTTTAATGCTTCCATTTCATGTCTCTCTCTAGTTTTTCAAGTAATAAGCGTTACTTTCCATTTATTTCACATGCAGTTACTAAAGCAACGCCAGCAAACTGCCTTTGTTAAAAAAATTAGAAATATGGGAAAGAAACACTGTATTTTAAGCAGAGATTGAACTTCAGGCCTTTAGGCCTGGCCTTTCGTAGCACCAGAAAAGTGCTAATGAACTGGGCATTGACAACTGGCACATTTGGCAAGCTGAAAAATGGAGCAGTGGCCTGCATATAGAAAGAATTACACTGGGTTTCAAGCTGCATTACGTCCTTTACTGTGCCTACATTTCTCTCTTCCTTTGAAAAAACATTGGTACTTTCCTGTGCTTCTATAAATACGAGTTTTAGAAATGTGTATGTTTTTTGCAACTGCTGAGAGCTGCAGCTGCAGGTAATTATTAAACGCAATCCCTTCCCACTTAATTTATATGTCCTTAATCGGGCCATATGTTTCATTGAATCAACTCCTAGAGAACATATCTATAATAATAAAAGGGTAATGACTCCTACTTCACTGGAAAAGACGGCGCAAAAGGGAGGGAGATTATTTATCTCTATGTATAGATGTTAAGAACGTGTGTGTGTGTGTGAGAGTGAGAGAGAGAGAGAGAGAGAGAGAGAGGGAGGGAAATTGAATTATTGCTTGTAGATGCTATTTAACTGTGCCTCAAACGTGTTTCTTTCACATTATTCTCTAAAGCATTGGTTCCCAATTAGCTAAGTACTATGTACTTTCAAAAGCCAAGACATGGACCCCCTACTTTTGAGAATATTTATAGCTCTATGGTAGTATTTGTTATCCAAATGGTGCAGGTAGTCTGCGTAACACCAACTGGGAACTACTGCTCTAAACCAATGACAGTAGTTAAAGCTTAAAACTGAGTCTGGACATTTTTGTGGCAATGTGAAGCGATCCCTAGCCCTTTCTGCTTGTATGTGCCCATAACGTTACACACAAGGTTACACAGCTAAGCTGCGGCTCCATGACTGCCCTACTGGTTAAATCTAGGATTGCTACGTGTGTGTGTGTGTGTGTGTGTGTGTCAGACCTCTTGTGCTACTACCCCAGCCTATGAAAAATGTGTTGGGAACTATAAATAAGTAGGTTAAGTGCCTTGCAGCAAGGCAACAATCCAACATAGAGTTAAGCATTATGTACCCCACTGAAACCAAAGGTGTTAAAAGTCTATCTAATTCTGTCTTGGAATATGGCAAGTGCCCACAACAAACCCACAGCTAGATATGTTGTGGTGTGTTCAGAGAGCCTAGGCTAAACTGTGGGTAGCTATCCAGTGTCCATGTGGAATAGCAAAAGCCCGGCTGTAAGAAGTCTATTACAGTTAATCCTTTGCACTAGGAAGTGGAGACCCTCAGGCCCCTCTTTGGTCCATAATCCCTCACCAGGCTACACCAGTCTGCCCTATACCCTCATTGAGTGCTTTTGATTGGCTGGAAGGTGTCCCTGACCTGTTGCTTGCCTGTGTAGAATATTGCTCGCCTGTTTTCCCTTAACTGCAGAAAAAAGAGCTATTGATGTCCTTAAAGATATCTGAAAGTTCAAGGAAGAAACCTGGAACAGTCCATGAAACACTCTTCAGCAAGTGCAATCTAGAACATTGTTAAATGCTAAGGCCCTATTGATGTCAAAGGGAGGTAGACATCCGTACCATCTCCAGCAACCTGTTCAATGGATTATGTGATTCACCACCACTGATTTGGGTAAGGGTGCACAGTTGCTTAAACAAAAGTTCTATGGCTAATAATGTAAATAATGGGAATTTATGGGACACGAGGGTGTCCCATCAATCAGAGTAATAGCATGTTGCACCACACTCTGCAGGCAAGCCCTTTCAAATGAAAATACACTCAGCAGGGTTTTGTTTGATAAGGGTCATAAATATAGGAATGCTGTTATCTTAAAACTTTATAGAAACATTTCCTGTGCTAAAAAAATAACAATGCATGTGTCCAATGGAATAAAATTATTCTCAATTTTCTGTTTTCATAAAATGTAGAGAATTTCAAAACCTTGTTGTATTTGGGTATTTGTGGGGGGGCAATGCTGAATCTTCGTTCACTTTAAATCCTTTAAACAACTTGAAGTATGTACTGAGTTTCAAAAATTAACTCTCCAAAAGTCATGGATGTCAAATTAAAGATCAAGGTTAATGTCAGATTTTGCCATTTCTGCCAAAGTCAGAAGGGTCTGGAGAAAAAGAAATGATTAACTAGATCTGCTGTGTTAACACTCTCAGAAGTATCCCCTGAATAAAGTCCTTGAAACTCTAAGGAAACCATTGAAAATTAATTGCCTCATTCTTTTTAGTTTGGTATAAAATGTGGATTCATGAAACACTATCCAGACATGCCTTTCCCTTGTCTCCCACTAGAGAATGATGCCTAACAGTGATAGGTATATTTGAAAAATGAAATAGCTTCTAGCAAATTAGCCCTTGACCTACCAAAAGTTCATATGAGTGCCTCCATACTCTACTAAAAGAACATTAGGTCATGCTTATCTAATGTGTAAAAATGAGAGCAGGGAGAAGCTAGAGCTGGGGTTTTTCTTCCCAGTTTTCTACCCAACTCTTTTGTAGTTTTATCCACACCCAAACAAAAACACACAGGCCTTTGTGACACACACAGTAGTGTGCCACAGATGCATATTGATTATTAACCGCAAAAATTATTTACCACTATTTACCATGTCCTAGTAAGAATAGAATGTAATTATATAGGGCTCGTCATTTACTAAAGGTAAAACAATACATATTTCTAACTCATGTGTTATAGTACAGTCCTGTTTCTAGCATTTGTTAAGCCTCAGACTTCTGTATACAAAATGTGGAGGTATGTGAACTTGTGCTCTTCATGTTATGCCTAATTTCCTGTGATATGGAACTGTCACAAGTCACTTTGACAGCCTGGAGCCTGACCTCAAATAGCGCATAATGAAAGGGTGCTCAGCTCAGAAGCTTACATTACTACATAGCTAGAGAACCTATCATTTAAGCATTCAGAGATGTTAGCCAGCACCCACTTGGCACATCTCTGCCTAATATACTGTAATAATAAAGAATAATCCAGCCCTTCTACATGAAAGAAAATGGACTGGTGAGCAAATTGCTGGGCTTTGTCTGCAAAGCATCCCTGGAAGGGGCTTAAATTTAACTGAAATCACCGAGCATGTGCTCTCAAATGCTGCTCTCACTAGCAACAAACATCTCTGGGATTAAGTGCTTTGTGCAGTCTGGAAGCCACTATATGACTAAAGCCAGATAGAGGATGCTATCATATGCAAACTTACTTGGGAACAAGTCCCATTGAACGTAAGAGGACTCAACTTCAGTGTGAACATGTGTAGGACTGGCTGCATAGGCCAAACTTTATGATTCTTTCAGTAAACAAGATGTGTAGTTTATAGGCGATTCATGCTGCTTTTTAGTTGTGCTTCTAGATGCAGAGCCCATTGTGCAAAAAATTGTGCCATGTGTAGAACTCAGCACAAACCAGCCTCATGAAAACTGTTTAAAACAACAACAGTGGCTCATTCCACATGAGTCCATTGTACACAGGCCACGTTGCAAGTTTGGGATATGGCTACAGAGCCGCTGAAAGTCACCACCCATTGAATAGAAACTGAAGCTGCCATGAATTAAGCAGTTTGTGAGAACTGTCCACAAGTTGCATGGCTATACGTACTGTACAATGGTCCTTCCTCCATGAGATGAAATCCAGGGCTTAATTAAATGTAATGTGGGGAGAAACATGATGATCATCCACAGTTTTCCCTTCTTTAAAAAAGCAGCTGTAGAGCACCTGAACTAGACAGGGTGCTGGGTGGAGGTGTCTACCTGCCCAGTCATGCCAGATAGTCTCCTCCAGCTTCTGCCTGTGGACTGATACTAGTGTTGCTCCATTGGTGCAGAGCTCTCTGTTCTGCCTACCAAATGGGTGGGTAGAAGTGTTCCCTGTGAGCAGCAGCTAGCAACAAATTCTGAAATAGGGCATTCATGTGACAGCACCAGGCCTGATTTGGGCTCAATTGCTGTGCATGCTGCAGGCTGTTCCTGGGTCACTCCCCTCTACTTTCCACCCTGGCTTGTATGCACAAAAAGGTGACAGATTTGGCAGTGGCCCTGTGGTTCTGTTAAGCCCTACTGGGCAGTGGCCAGATTTAGGATTGTACCCTGGCCTGCTGATAGAGAATACAAAAGAGCCAATGTGCATATCAGATTTTACTCATGATGGCAAAATCCTTATGAATGCATTTTTTGGTGCTTTAGTAGCTGTGTGAACTACCCTTTCTATGGTCAAACTTCCCATTCACTTCCTGTGGCTGTCGGTGCCTCTGTGAAAGATTTGCTCGTCTCACAAAAAGATGGAGTGAATCTTATTATTGGTACGTAATGATTTTCACAAGAAAGCTAATTTGCCACTGATTGCAATTGTTAAAATAGCCAGCGAGGAATACTGAATGACGATGTTTATATTGCAGCTTTAATATCAACCAACTGCCTATTCTTCATGGAAGTTCAGTATTTCTAATTACTATTCAACAGGAGAGCATTTTAGTATTTGCAAAAAGTAATAAACTGCAGGTTAATCTTGTGTGTTCATTACTTGTTGAAAGAAAGTCAATGGCATACAGCAGAGAATAGATCTAGATTTGGTATTCTCAGTGCATTTATAATCTGGTGTATTACTATTTACATTTTTTCCTCTTATATATAATCCTTTATTCTCACAGTACTGTGAGGTAAATTAGACTGAAATATAACAACTGCCCTTGATAATCCAGTAAAATGTATGGTTTACTGGATTTGAACCCATTTCTCACTAGTGTAAATCCAACACTCTTAACTGCAGTGTTCCTTAATTAATAATAAGCAGGCCAGAGAAGTTGAACAAGAAATAGATTTATTAAAGAACTACGTACAACAAGTCTTCTCTCCTTTAGCTGCTTTCTCTCTAGCTTCTAGCCTTACCTCCTGCTTGGGTCTAATCTCTTAGATGTGCGAGGTGCTCTTAAAGTTTAAGATGGAATTCTAAACGCTGCGCTACCACAATTGTTACATCAGTGCAAGCATTTCAGTTTACCTGATGGAACAATCTCCTCTCTCGTCCCCTGCATCATATTCTGGGGGTTCTTCTTAACCCCCAACAACCAGTTTGAGGGTAGATAAAGGGGCATGTAGGCAGGATAAAGAGCAAGTCGCATTACACTAGGGGGACTAGTGTGGAAGCGCCCTAAAATAGTATATGACATACAGTGAGCCACTAAATGAAATAAGATGCTGGAGGAGATAGACCTCTCATCTCATCCAACAGGAGTCTTCCTACATTAGGCTGGGAAAAACAGAGCCAATAAATTTTCACCTGAGAGCTCGAAGGATTGTGGGCCTCCCACTTTATCACTGTATTTTGGAAAGCCTTGGTCTGGGTTCCCAGTAGAAATTGCTAGTAAGCGGTAGAGCAGATGCAACTGATTTTACTGTCTCTGAGAGCATGCATTGTCAGAGGAGTCTTTAAAGAACTGACACCTGCATGTAACGCTGACAAGTGTCTAATCCCATTGCCAGCTGCTTCCTATGACTGGCAGCGGAATATGCAGTGGTGATATTTCTTCCCTGCCTATGGCCTGCCAGAAAGAATTGGTCAAGGGGATGATCTTACACAGAGGAGCCAAAAAAGTACAACGCAAGGAATACTTTGCAGAAAGTCAATATAAAGTGCACATCTGTGCAAGATTACTTAGCAGGCCTAAGGCACTCAAATCCATACTCTGGCGTCAGCGCTGGGCATTTTAGTTGACAAGCCTTGCAATTTTCCAGACTCTTCTACCTTATAGCTGCTCATTAATTACCTTCATTTGTCAGCTGGCAGTGCAAACAGGGTACAAATGTTTAGTCTGCATCTTGGGTTAATATCTGGGAGCAGCAGCAGTGGATGGAAGGCTTCCAGAACTCTGCTACATAACTGCCTTCTGCTCAGATTGCTTAGCTCTGAAACCAAGCAGCCACCTCAACATGTTTTCCCTTCTTAATAACGTGCCAGCTGAACTTTCTTTGAAGTTGTTGCAATAGCATTCCTGTTGGCATTCATAAATAATATTTTAGAAAAACCACACCACCCCAACACTTTTATTACTAATGGAGTTTGTTTTGTTCACAAAGTCATTCTAGCACTCAGTTTGGGAGGAGTGTTGTGAGCTGGAGAGAGAGAGCTTCTTGGCAGATGAATACTCAAGGCCTTTCCCCAGTTCCACCTGAATCGCCAGTAGCAGTAGGGGAAGGCAGATTCTCTCTCCCCCTCCCCCAACTGCTTATTTGTAGCTGTTACAAACACATGCCTTTCCTGCCCTTCTTGGAAGGAATTCAGACTGAATCCAGTATTCATCCTCATAACCCTGTGAGGCATGCTAAGCAGAGCAACAGTAACCTATGCATGGTCACCAGAGAGATACTTCACACTGTATGAGACAACTGGGTTCCACCAGCTGCTCCCATGCCAAACACATTTGTCCCTAAATATGATTACAAGCATGCTGTGCATCACAACCAATTGTGGCTCTCCAGTGTCCTTTCCTGCCTTGCCCCTTGCCAAAAGTTTAGAGTTGGGCCTCCCTGTAACCCTTGTTTGTTTACATACAGTGGTACCTCGGTTTAAGAACAGTCCGGTTTAAGAACGATTTGGTTTACAAATCCCGCAAAACTGGAAATAGTGTCTTGGTTTGAGAACTTTACCTTGGTCTAACAATGGAATCCGAACGGTGGAAGGGAACCAGCGGCGGGAGGCCTCATTAGGGAAAGCACACCTCAGTTTAAGAATGGACTTCCGTAACGGATTAAGTTCGTAAACCAAGGTACCACTGTACTATGGAAAATGCCAGGTAAAGTGGGAGCAGAATTAGCTGGTGCTAGATACAATTCCATGATAAAGATCTAGGTAGGAAATACGTGAAACCAAACTAGATTTCTCTCATTATTTTGACTCTCAGACCCTTTGCTTGAAGGTACTCTCTGAAATCAGTACACTGCTTAAACATTTTCTCCCTTCCCCCCTGTTCTTCCAAAGTTTAAGTAGGAATACTGATAACATTTAAATCAATGCTTCCTGTAATGGGAACTTGCTCATCTTTTATCTTGATCAGAACAAATACCCAGAATAACTCATGTCAGTGAAAAACAATAACAATTACATATGTTAAATGTAATGGGAGCACTTTCCATAATTAATTCACTAGTTAAGAATGGCCTATTTCACTCTAACACAAATTGGGACAGACAAAGGTTTGGCTCCATTTTCTCTGCAGTTCCTTACAATGAAAGTTTGCTTTCCCTCATTTCTTTGTCTAATATGAATAATGGTCTACAAGAGATGGCATATTTGTGGAACTCTATATTTCATAAACCTGGGAGGAAAGTGCTGAAAATCTATTATACTGTCACTCAGCACTATCACTAATGAATTCTGGCTCATTCCCACTTCATTACTCAACTTACAGTGAATGAAGGTGTTTTTAAATTATTCAGTAATCTCTGCCCTGTTTTAAACAATGGCATATTAGGCAGCCCAATCCTACAGCCTGGTACGAAAGGGTCAGATAAGAATGAGCAAAAGGCGTCCTTCCTCAATGGCTCAAACAGGGTCAAATTCAGCAACCTGGCCTAGGAAAACCCCTCAGTTGTTCAGAACTGAAACCCTGTATTATCACTAGAAGGGGGGAGAAATTTGTCAATTTATTTTCTCTTAATTTCTCATTTTTCTAAGATTAAATCCAGTTATCCACATTTCCACATCACTTGGCAATTAAAAAAAAATCTTATGAAAATTCATCTGCATTTCCCTGTGAATTTCTCTTAATGTAACACATTCGTATACAGGAAACTCCCAATTTACACAGGCCTGACGTTCCGAGGCACCGCACGGTGTCAGCGAAATCACATATATTTGAAATACCATTAGAAAAAGCTTGCAAACAACCTTTAAACCTCTGGAAACCCTTTTAAAAAAACCAGCAGCACTTACCAATCACCAAACTCCGCCATAACCACTCCCCCCAAAACTCCCTGCTCAAATTCAACTCTCCACAGGCCTCAATGGTCGGTGCAAGGGCTCCTGGGATTGCATTTGCAAAGGCTCATGGGATTGCTAGGTGCTGTTTTCGTGCTGGTTTTGCTCTTTCTGGGCTCTTTTAGGGCTGTTTTAAAAGTCACTTCTGGCTTCTGCATGGTTGCATGTTGATTGGTCATTTCCTGTATGCAGTTCTGCCTAATATACACATTTGTGCAAACCAATCTCCCCTTACGGAATACATTAGGGTTCCCATACAACTGGCATTTCATGGTAGCAGTGTCTGTGCAGAAATTGGTAAAATGCGACTTTCTCCATGTCCACACCCAAAAAAAGTTCAACAGCTTTCCTGTCTGGATTTTCGTGGTTTGAAAAATGGCAACCCTAATTTAGCAAGCCATTTAACTTACTATTAATTTCAGAATCTGCATTGTGAAGCAATGCAGCATCGCAACATACTAACCTCACACAGAGAGTTAAGGGAGGTTTGTGAAGACCTTAAAGCTTATCTGTTCCACGTGCCAGTTTAATGTCTCTTGATCAGAAAAGAAAGATCACCCAACAGCAAGCACTGCTAGCTTGGCTTAACCAGGCAGTAAATTTCATGGTGGTCTTGAGGCACCTGTTCACACTTAATTGAATTGCCCTTAATTTGACCTTCCCCTGACATCTGTTTTTGTGTAACAGCCAAGTAAAGTATGACACAGTTTCAAATAGACCAGTGTCTGGCACCTGTTATTTTATTATTTATCACTGAGATTGTGTCAGCGTTCACTTCCATGTGCTCACTGCTGTCCAAACATGGAAAGATAATCTGCTCTTTCCCCCAAAATATCTTTTTAAAAAGCTGAAATATAAATATATTGGAGTGCCTAGCAATAGTTTAAGAAAATAGTCACTTTCTCCAAGCTCAACACACTCACCCCATCTGAAGGGATTTAAAACCAAAAATATACGTGAACAGGATCACTGGCTAAGATCTTTACCTACAGAAAAAGGACTGCCTGCGCACACACTCACACACAGCTTCAGCAGTTTCTCTGTTTCTTGTCTTGCAAAATAGATTCAGGAATATTGCTGGAATAGGAAAAAGCAGAATCAAATAAAGTATCCAAAGCTTTATTAGGATAACTGCTGAGGCAGAGCAAGAGACTGACATGAAGCAGGCAAGGAATTATAACAAGGAGCTAAGCTGTAGTAACTACAGGTGGGGCAATAGTGACCTTGCAGCTGTCAGACTTTAACTGCAAACCTTCTAAATAGCTGTGGCAAGTTAACTTTTTCTTTACACGTGGAGAACCAGCCCTTATTTGTGTGCCCAGGCAGAGACCCCCCAACCCCAGGCAACACCCGAGTGGAATAATGACTCGTGACATGGTATGGGATTAAAATTGGCCACAACTTTATTAAACCAAGGAAGACCTTGGCTTAGGCATTGGACGTTTATCCCTCCCAGTCCCTGGCTGGGGATCTGGGGCACATCAGGGTTAACCAATCTGTCTGGGGATTGGGCTGGCTCTGGAAGATGTATGTTTAAGCAGAGAGCCCCCCCCCCATTTCACTGCAACACAGGGGAGTGCACTGACAACCTATCGGCATATGGCCAATGACTCCCCTCAAAACAACCCCTTTAATGGGGAAGCTGTGTCACCACTTCACACACACCCATTTAGGGAAGATAGACTAAAGGATTCTGCCCAAGGCCTAAAACCGCCAAAGTTGTGACATTTTGCTACAGGGAAGGCGAAACCTGCCAATGCAGGGAAAATTTCTTCCCGGTCCTTTAACAGCAACCATCGTAAGACCGTAGCAGCGCCTGCATACCTGTAAAGAAGAAGTTAACCTGCAATAAAAGGCCTAAACTAAGGGAGGGTAGGGCAGGTGAAACTCTGGAGCCGACTGAGAGCTCCCAGGTAGACTCCACCCCCTTTTATGCTAAAGAGCAGACCCTACCCTTACCTGGTCCGCTCCCCTGGCTCCGCCTCCCCAGTCATGATTGATTATTTAAACTGAGGTTTGGTGGGAACCTCAAGGTTCGCGACTTGGGAAGGTGGTCCTGGAGCACTCTGCCAGGAGTTACATAGGGTCAGGGGTGCTGTGTGCAGGCACACAAAGGACGCCCTCCGTTTGATGTGGAGAGCAGTCATTACCACAAATAACTGCTGCCACCAAATACCTATACAATACTGTTTACTAGCACCTTTAACTATAACTCAGTAGCTGTGGTATTTTATACATGGTACAAAACCAGCCAGACACACTTTTATAATTAAATAAAAGTAGCAATATATTTTTATTATTTATTATAAATATGTGATAAGGTAAATACTATACTTTAGTCAATTACTGTTTATTTAAGACTTATGTTTTACTGTGGTAAGCTTGCATTACCTTTAAATGACAGTTACAGAAGTTTACTTTTTTCAAAAAGTTATGGTTTTATTCTTTTTGTAAACTGTTTTGAGATTTTATTACAGACAAGTAGTGTATAAATCTTGTGAAATAAATAAAAGTAAGTAATAAACACATTTTAAAAGGTGACCCCCCCCCACAGTAGCTGAAAGAACTTGCACTGTGCTGTCTTTCTCCCCTACTGTTCAGAAACTGGGACAACTTGCCAAAGTGAATTAAATAAAGTAAGCGAATGACATCATCAAAGCTTTTAAGTTAAAACTCAGGTTTTCAAAGGAGTTAATTACTTTTTTAAAAAAAGGTTTAAGGGCTCACACCTGCCTGAAATGTGCCTGCTGACTTCTCTTTTTGGCCCAGTTTAAATGAGGCACTGGCAAAGTGCTTGCCCACGTAGGCAGATGTGGTCATGTTTAATGGCATTTGATCCTGTGCGCAGACCAACGTGAGCGTAGTGTCTGCATGCTGCCACAGCATCTGCTGAGCCTGCAGTTCATTTCGAGTCAAATTATGGGGTAGCTGCACATGGGAAAATCACTTTTTAAAAATGTTATGCCAATCGCAATAACTGCCCACACAAATAAACATTTTCGCCCTGCTAATGTCTCATTTAAATCATGCCTTCCTTCATCCCAGATGTTTACTCAACACTGAGGAAACTTCACTCAATATACACTCAGTGGTGGTGCCCCCTCCTCCGTTATTATTAGCTCACCTGTTCAAGAGTTGTGCCTTAGGCACTGAAAATAGACCCTGGGGCTGAGCTTTGATGACACCAGGCTTAAAATAGTCCTTCAGTACACATTAAGAAAACAAAACAAAACAGAATCTTCAAGAGGTAAATTTGGACTGAAAGGACTCCTTGCTGCCTGTGCATTTCGCATGCAGCTTAGTCAGCTATTTTTTAAGCATTAAAGCTCTGCTGTGAGAGCTGCGTTTTCTGTGAACTCAGCCCATGGCATTCCCGTAAGACTGAAAGGTCCTCGAACCAAGGTGGTGGCAGGGCCAGTCACATAGGTCATTGACAAGAAATCAGCCTCCAGCTGGGGTAGGGAGAGAGGATTTTCTGTTAAGGATTCACCTGATTTCGAAGACAGAGGTCCTGTGGCTGGGACGGGGCGATATGGGATTGGGGGGGCAACTCCCATCTCTTGCGGGGGCGCAATTAGTGCCAGCACCATCCGTTAAGAGTTTGGGTGTAATCTTCGACACCTCCCTTTCCATGGAGGCGCAGATTGCAGCTATAACAAAGGCGGCATTTTTCCATCTCCGCCAAGCTAAGCAGTTGGCTCCTTACCTCTCTCGCCCTGACCTAGCCACTGTGATCCACGCGACGGTCACCTCCAGACTGGATTATTGTAACTCGCTCTACGTGGGGCTGCCCTTGAGACTGACCCAGAAACTCCAGCGGGTGCAGAATGCTGCAGCGAGACTCCTTACGGGGTCTTCGCTGCGAGATCACATTCACCCGGTGCTACACCAGCTGCACTGGCTCCCAGTGGAGTACAGGATCAGGTTTAAGGTGCTGGTTTTAACCTTTAAAGCCCTATACGGCCTAGGACCCTCGTACCTACGGGACCGCCTCTCCTGGTATGCCCCACAGAGAAACTTACGGTCTTCAAATAAAAACATCTTGAAGGTCCCAGGCCACAGAGAAGTTAGGCTGGCCTCAACTAGAGCCAGGGCTTTTTCGGCTGTGGCTCCGATCTGGTGGAACGCTCTGTCACAAGAGACCAGGGCCCTGCGGGACTTGACATCTTTCCGCAGGGCCTGCAAGACAGAGCTCTTCCACCAGGCCTTTGGCCAGGGCACAGCCTGACTCCCTCCCTCGGCAATCTTCGCGGAGCTCTGGCCCAATAGTTGCCAGTGGCCTGAATTAATTAATTTTATAATGAATGATTTTAGAGTGTTGTTTATGCTATACTTTTATACTGTTTTATTGTTGTTAGCCGCCCTGAGCCCGGCTTTGGCTGGGGAGGGCGGGATATAAATAAAATTTATTATTATTATTATTATTATTATTATTACAGATCTTTAAACTTTATGAGAGAAATGGGGAAAGTGTGACCAGCTCCCATCAGCCTCAGACAGCCTGGCCAGTACTGAGGGGAAGGGTTGTAAGGAGGCAGTGATTTCTATCCTGTGCTCATCACAGTAAGCACTTCTGCAAAAATCTACATTGTTGTAGTGTAGTGGTGCTGACCTTTAAACCCTAAATGGCCTCGGTCCAGCATACCTGAAGGAGCATCTCCACCCCCATCATTCTGCCCGGACACTGAGGTCCAGTACAGAGGGCCTTCTGGCGGTTCCCTCACTGCAAGAAGCCAAGTTACAGGGAACCAGGCAGAGGGCCTTTTCAGTAGTGGCACCCGCCCTGTGGAACACCCTCCCACCAGATGTCAAAGAGAAAAATAACTACCAGACTTTTAGAAGACATCTGAAGGCAGCCCTGTTTAGGGAAACTTTTAATGTTTAATAGGTTATTGTATTTTAATATTCTGTTGGAAGCTGCCCAGAGTGGCTGGGGAAACCCAGCCAGATGGGCGGGGTATAAATAATAATAATAATAATAATAATAATTATTATTATTATTATTATTATTATTATTATTATTATTATGAGTCTCACTATCTGCAATGGCTGACGATCGACTTCAATGCATTTTAATGAAAGGCAAATTCACAATAGTGAATATCACTTGTATTCACTTCCATGATTTCCATTCCTGACCTTGGACAAATATGCTAATTGAAGCCATTTTCACTTTTGTTTCGGACAGAATTCTCCTGCATCCTTAGTGAGGGGTGAAGGGAATTGGAGTCCAGCAACGCCTGGAGGCAGACAGCTTCCACACTTCTGCTCTCACAGCAGACTTCCCCAACCTGGTACCTTCCAGATGTTTCAGACTTCAACTCCCATCAGCCCCAGCCAGCCAAAAACTGGGATGAAACCAGGAAAAGTGCCCCCCCCCCCGTTGTGCATTTACAATATTTCAAAGGTGCCTCAGCTGCGCAACCTCTGTGTACACAGCTCTCAAATGTATCCAAGCTTACGGACTGTCTGGTTGCTTTGGATGAGCCCCAGGCTGTTTAGATAAGTGAGGGATGTACTGTACACATATTTGATTCATGCGCTGGAATAGCGCTATTCATTTCAGCAGAGCTCTATGTCTAGTTTTAGTGAAACTGTCTCCCTGAAACCCTTTGCTGGCTGTTTCTTCCAGTGTTCACAGCTGCTGACTGTTTTATAAATGTTTGGGTCTGGTCAGCACTAGTGTTCCTAACTGTTGTCAGTACCAGTGGAACTGCTGCAACAAAGAGAGATTCTCAAACCTGGTGGAAGAGGAACATTTGAGAAATATCTACCATTGAAGCGTGCTGTGTGAAAAATGGCAGAGCTTTCTTTGTAGTGGCACCGCTGTTGAAACAGAACTTCAACTGTTGTAGCCATAGAATTATATAATTGTAGGAAGGGACCTAGGGGTCATCTAGCCCAACTCCCTGCAATGCAGGAATCTCAACTAAAGCTTCCATGATAGATGGCCATCCAACCTCTGCTTAAAAACCTCCAAGGAAGGGGAGTCTACAACCTACCGAGGGAGACTGTTCCACTGTCAAACAGCTCTTACTGTCAGAACGTTTTTCCATGTTTATTCAGAAATCTCCTTTCTTGTAACTTGAAGCCATTGGTTCGAGTCCTACCCTCTAGAGCAGGAGAAAACTAAATTATACTCAGGACAGACCCATTGAAAACAATAGCTAAGATAGGGCTAACATTGGATATAACCCTTAGTGGTAGGCATATTATTAAACCCTTTGGATATCCCCAGCTATCTTAAATGGGAGACTCCCCCCCCCCCCACTTGAGATAGGGATGCTTTAAAAAAATGCTACTGATACTTAACTATACATTTGTTCCATACTGCTTTCCTATTTTGGGGACTTGATTTACCGCAAATCACCTTG